TGCTTTTGTCGGGCACCTCAGTCTAGGTGTTTCACACATGCCAGCTGGGCACATCTTCGGGGAAAACTCTGCCCCTCCAGTCTTTTAGTCAATTCTGTTTTTTTTCACCGTGTCCCCGTAGATTACTATATTTCAAGTTCCCAAATAGAGAACGCTGCCGGGGTGAGAGGGAGGTGCAGGAGTACATTTGAGGGATGCTGAAGGGGATATTTGGGGGGTGCTGGAGTTGGCTTCACAGGGCCCCCCAGCCCAGACACCTGCACCCCCTTTTCCTCCCCAGAGTTCAGCTGTGGGGCCAGACACCCGCACCCCCTCCCTCCAGAGCCCAGGTTCAGGCACCACTCCACACAGCTTTTGTTATTGTCCTACTGGGCAGAAATGACCTGTATCTGCTCATGGGGGAGGCAAAATTTAAAGATTTGGTTGCCTCCTGGAACAGGTCGAGTCACGCCCCCTTCTGGGAAGGGGCCCCCCCTTAACCCTCCTGGAAAGCAGTGGCCCCTCCCTGCAGCTTTCAGCTGTTGCTTCTGCCTCTCCCTGAAGGGTGCAGCTTGCCAGCTCCAGCAGCTGTTGCTCAGGGAGGGGACCTGAACACTCCACGTGACTGAGCAGGGTCAGCAAACTCTGGCAGAAATCTGGGGGGGCACGTGACCCTGTGTTCCGGGCACTCTGCTTATTGTGCAGCCCTGGCCCACATGCCATCTCCTTTGTTCAGGGCATGCTGGGAACTGCAGCCCGCCTACGCCTCTTGCAGTGGTGCATTGCGATTTGGGGAGGCGGGCTTTGTCAGGTCCAGCAGTCCCTAGCAGCAGCTCTGCAGCACCAGTTCTGTGGGAAGAAATGAAATTCTGTGCAGAACATTACTTCTGTGCAAATTCTGCATTGCACAGTGGTGCAGAACTCCCCCAGGAGTAAGCATTCCACCCCAAAGTAGATAATTGGTCTGTTTTCTCTAACAACATGTTTATAGGGTTTTTGAAAGGGCTAGTCAAATTGTATCCTTGGTTGCAAGACCACCTTCTCCCAAGCAATCTAAATTTAGCACCTTTAAGACTTATGGGTCCCTCTGTTTGAGCCTTTGGCTACATCAATGAATGAAAATGGCATTTTTGGTTGCCATCACCTTGGCCAGAAGAATAGGAGAGCTGCTTGACTTAATGGATGGGCTTCTCTATACAGTCTTCTTTAAGAAAAAGGTTTACTTGCAGCCTCATCTGAGGTTTTCCCAAAGGTGGTATCATCTTTCCATATCAGCCAGCCAATGTACTTACCTGCATTCTGCCTGAAGCCACATTTGTAGATTGACAACCTGGTCCTCAATCAACACATTTGCTTCCCATTGTGGTGTTGTTCAGGACTCGAGAGACAATGCTAGGGTTGAGCAAGTTGTTCTCCAATCATGACCTGTCCTCCTAACCCTCTATGTCGGAGATCTGGCAAGATGAAACTGAGGGGGAACAGGGAGCCGCTCTGTCCTTTATACCTGCATGCAGTAGTGTGTGTCAGCAGGAGGAACTCAAGCTACTCAGTGGGTACTACTGAGGGGAAAAGTTTCCAATGGCTATGCGCTGGGTAGACAGGCACCAAGGTTGAATTGGACATGTGCAACATGTCCAGAACAACAGTTACTGAACAGGTTAGTAACCGTTTTTTTCCAAATATCAGCACTCAACAAAATATTTTGAAGCACTTGACTGTTTGCCCCAAAAGTGGAAGAGGAAGAGTACTCATTGGTGAATTTGGTGATTTTGTGGCAGTTAAGCTGAACTATATTTGTTATATATTCATGTATAGCTATTTCTGTATCCTGTATCATCTTTTATTCTAGGTTCTTGTCATTAATGCCTATACTGTAGGGGACCTTTTAAAGTGTCGTTGCCTGGCTTGGTAAAGCCAACAGTGAGCTTTCTTAACAAGTTTCCCTTTTTAAAGAGCTTTAAAGATTGTAAGGGTATTTGTATTGTGGGTTTTTATTCTGTCCTCCCAACCCCCATCTTGACTTTTGCTGCAGTTGGATGAGTTGGTGGAGAAGGCCGGGGTGGGGAATCTGCATACTTTTTGTATCGTGTAATTCCTGGTAGAATACCAGTACGCTATCCTCTGTTGTTGCAGTTTGAACTTCTGTTGGTGGGGGGTTGGGTCTGCATCCAGCTGTATTGCTTAGTGGCAAGAGTCTGTGGCTGTATCACCTGATGGTGAGAGTCTTTAGGGTCAGCGGTAGGGGAACCCTGGTCCCTCCCTGCTCCACCTGGTTCCAACCATGGCCCTATGACAAGCAGGTCGGATATGCACCTAAAGCTGTCCAATAAACCCATAAAAATGGGCGATATGGGGAGTGGCTAGATACCCCATGGATGTTCATACACTTTACTGGGAAGTGTCCCATCAGCTGAAACTCTGACCACATTCTGTTGCCAAATACATCCTTCTGGTCCTCTTAAAGTGAATCACGTGGAGGATAGCTGAGTCTGACCCTGAGAGGCCCATCAACTTAGGAAGAACAGTGATGATTTAGCTTGTTTTGCCATGGCTTATTCTGTTAATACTTTCTATAGAAAAAAGAAAAATTGTCCTTTTGTGTTGATAAAAGTAAATCTTGTAGTGTAGATGTGGTTGACTTGCTAACACCATTTCCTGTGGGCTGAAGTCCCACATACAGTTTATATTTTATCTGTATGGACACTGCTACGCTACTGGGGAATGTTTCAGTGCTGGAGGTGTTGTCCTTTGGATAGTGTTATGAATCATAGTGGCGTTTGTCAGTATTTGGTGACTGCCAGGGTGAAAGTGAAGATCTCATGTATGAGGCATTACTTGGGAGTAATACATTCATCCCAAATTCATACCAGGAGACCTTTTATGGCACATTATTGAATTGATCTAATATATGCATGCACGCTGTCTCTCTCCTCTTGCGCGCTCTCTCTCTCTCTCCCCCACCCTGCATTCAGAGTTAACCTTTATAGAATCCCAGTTCATCCCCCTTTGAAATTATATCTTTTACGGTTAAACTCAGTTTTCTTGAACTTTTTATTGACAGTCAACACTGTGGAATTAAAATCACCGGTGTCAGCCCAGGAAGCTTTGCAGCTTCTTCCCATCTGACAGGTATTATGTATGTGGAATGCTCCTTCTCCCATCTTCATCACATTCAGATGCTGACTAAAGTGGCAGAAAGGAGCACATATTGAGAACTCAGCTGATGGTGCATTTCAACTTTTGTCATTTCTATTTTCTTCTATGAATTAAACCCAACTTATTTTATATTTGAAAATATAGGTTTTTACCTTTTTCTACCTTCCTCCCCCCCAATAATTATTGCAGTTTAATCTGCATAATTTCACTTCATTTTTGTACAATTAAAATAAGTATAACCACCTGAAAATGCTGTGATCCAGATCCTCATGACTTTGAAGTCAATGGTGCTAGGACAATTTACACAAACTGAGGGTCTGATCTTGTGTGTATTTATGTATTACAAAATGTCTGTATCCATGCAGAATATAGAATCATAGAATATCAGGGTTGGAAGGGACCTCAGGAGGTCATCTAGTCCAACCCCCTGCTCAAAGCAGGACCAATCCCCAACTAAATCATCCCAGCCAAGACTTTATCAAGCCTGACCTTAAAAACCTCAAAGGAAGGAGATCCCACCACCTCCCTAGATAACCCATTCCAGTGCTTCACCACCCTCCTAGTGAAAAAGTTTTTCCTAATAACCAACCTAAACCTCCCTGATTGCAACTTAAGACCATTATTCCTTGTTCTGTCATCTGCTACCACTGAGAACAGTCTAGATCCATCCTCTTTGGAACCCCCTTTCAGGTAGTTGAAAGCAGCTATCAAATGCCCCTTCATTCTTCTCTTCCGCAGACTAAATAATCCCAGTTCCCTCAACCTCTCCTCATAAATCATGTGCTCCAGCCCCCTAATCATTTTTGTTGCCCTCCGCTGGACGTTTTCCAAATTTTCCACATCCTTCTTGTAGTGTGGAGCCCAAAACTGGACACAGTACTCCAGATGAGGCCTCACCAATGCCGAATAGAGGGGAATGATCACGTCCCTCGGTCTGCTGGCAATGCTCCTACTTATACAGCCCCAAATGCCATTGGCCTTCTTGGCAACAAGGGCACACTGTTGACTCATATCCAGCTTCTCGTCCACTGTAACCCTTAGGTCCTTTTCTGCAGAACTGCTGCCTAGCCATTCGGTCCCTAGTCTGTAGCAGTGCATGGGATTCTTCCGTCCTAAGTGCAGGACTCTGCACTTGTCCTTGTTGAACCTCATCAGATTTCTTTTGGCCCAATCCTCTAATTTGTCTAGGTCCCTCTGTATCCTATCCCTACCTTCCGGTGTATCTACCACTCCTCCCAGTTTAGTGTCATCTGCAAACTTGCTGAGGGTGTAATCCACGCCATCCTCCCAGATCATTAATGAAGATATTGAACAAAACCGACCCCAGGACCGAACCTTGGGGCACTTTGCTTGATACCGGCTGCCAGCTAGACATGGAGCCATTGGTCACTACCTGTTGAGCCTGATGATCTAGCCAGCTTTCTATCCACCTTATAGTCCATATAGTCTAGATGTATTTGTGCCAGTTGCTTTATCTTGGGCAATCTTTTAAACTGAATGATGATGACAGATATATATAGCACTTCTTTCACATTTACTACGGCAAACTTTATTTTACTAAAAGTTGGAGGCCCTAGTTTTCTATAGAATGTATCCGCTAGCTGTATCTTCAAGTTTAGAATTATATGAATGTGATTTATCAGTAGTTTATGAAATACATAATTTTCAGAATCATCTGTCACTAAGTAATATAGGTGTTAAGGGAACAGGCTTCCAATTGCATAATCCTCATATGCTTACCTGACTCTGAGATATGAATTCAGTTCTATCACATTGTGATTATCTATTATACTATGCATCATTGAAGTTGTTGAGTTTGTATCTTATTATTCTAACTACTGCACTTTTTTCCTTTTTAATGTAAGGTTGCCTTTGCCTCCTGGAGCCTTCTCGGGTCTCTGGAAAAATCAGGAAATATTCAAGGAGTTATATTTCCAAAAATTTCAAGTAAGAATTGCAAAAGGAACTATATAAACTACCAGTAATGCTGTGGCATTGAATGACCTTAGTTAGTAGTTTGGATTCTGTCATTTCTTCTTTTGATGAGAGAGCTTTGATATGTATCTCTGTGTAAGATTAAAAACTTTTAAAGTTAAACCTTTCATTGTGCATAATATTAGAATGTAGTCACTCTTAAAGAAAATCTAAAAAATACAGTTTGTCTTCTGTGTGGAGTAACATATGCAGGAGTGGAGCATGACTTTAGGGAGGGGAATCTGTACATAGGTGAATAAATTATGTTTCCCACATCAGATCCATATATGGAAGAGATTGTACATAAGCTGATCTCCTCCATACACAGGGAGGGGTGTGTGTGTGTGTGTGTGTGTGTGTTTCCTATGCATGACCAAGAAGGAAGATTCGGTCCAAGGGTGGAAATAGCGGAGGGAACAGATTTATGTGTGGACAAGTTGTCATTCTGTGGTCTGGCAAGGTGTTGCTATCATGCTTCTGGGTCAAGATATTTCCAATAGAAACAGGAATATCATGAGAATTTGAGTTCAGTTTTGCTGCCCCAACCTTTAGAGACAACGCTGCTCTTCCCCTGGGCTCAGGAGAGCCCCATCTTCCAGGGGTTCTGAGTGAGCGGAGAACAGGCTGAAAAGGTGTGAGTGGACTTGCAGGGCATATGCTGTTCCTGCTGACCCCACCAAGCTCGCTTGGGGAGGGGAACCCAATCTGTATTATGAAATCAGAACAGTGAATAAAGTGTTTCAGAATAAAATCCATATAATGAAAAAATTATAATTGGGAAAAGAAGGAACTGCAGTTTATAAAGATTTTTCAGCTGTAAAGTTGATGTGATCCTATTTTTACACCACACTCATAAACTTTAGGTGGGAGGTGACTATATTAAACAGGCCAGTAACTTTTTTCATTTTGAGTGAGTCACTCATCCATTTTGCTGGTAGAACATTGCTGAGCTGATGACCTTAGTATTAATATCAATTTATTTCTTGTGGTTTTATTTTCAGGGATACTATGATACCATGGATGCTGGGTACGTGGACGAAGATGGCTACTTATATGTCATGTCTCGAGTTGACGACGTGATCAATGTTGCAGGTCATAGAATTTCTGCAGGTGCAATTGAGGAGGTGAGCACAAACTTAACCGTGAAAATGGGTACAAAGAAAGCTGGCATCACAGGGTACGTCCACACATTGAGTGGGAGCCTGTGGAAGTGAGTCTTGGAGCCCAGGTTGACAGACTCAGGTTTGCTGGGCTCACACTAAGGTGCTTAAAATAACTATGCAGAGATTGTGACTTGGGCTCTGAAGCCGAAGATGGGGGTGGGCTTCAGAGCCCAAGGTCCAGCACGAGCCTACACAACTGTTTTTAGTGACGGAGCACAAGCCCTGTTGAGCCTAAGTGTGTCAAGCCAGGCTCTAAGACTCGCTGCCACAGGCTGCTGCTCGCTATGTAGATGTGTTCACAGAGACATAAAATACGTTTTATTTTTTTCTCAGTTGTGTACGTGTTGGTTTTGATTCTTTGGGGGTGCAGATGTTTCTAAGATTAAAACTTTTGGAAAGTTTTTTAAAAGTAGTTTTAGGGTGGATTTCAAAAAGGGCTCAGTGTTGGCTTAAACTCTGCTCCCGTTGAAATCATTAGGAGTTTTATTATTGGCTTCAGTCAGAGCAGAGCTAAGCCAACTCTAAACGCTCCGAAAACTCCACCCTCACATCCTAGCTCACGAATGTAATATACAGGTAACTCCACAAGTTAAAACTATGCATTTTAAAATAGCATTTTAGACTCATTTCCTGATTCACTGACCTGTCCAGATCTACTGTAATTGCCAGAAGATCTTGGATTTCCCTGAAGATCTTGCAAGTAAAGGAAGCCATGCAGGGAGTACAAGAAAATCCTCCTTATTTGGTATTAGGCATGTTGCTGTACTTTTCTCTAGACTCTGAACTTAGCAGTTAAGTCAAAGGAGAACTAATTTTGCAATATTTTGCTTTACAAAATATCTGTTTGCAATCTGTGGGTTGACCTGCATATTTTATATAACATTTTGGATTTTAAAGAGTAGAAAACTTGGAAAAAAGCCAGAGGACAGATTTTTGGTCTCTCTGGCTGCAGAAGCCATTTGGGTTGCACAAAAGCAGCACATAAACCCCATGGATCCACCTTCCTAAGCATTTGCATTATATAAGGGGAATCTCTGGGTGGAGTACAGTGGTATTAACAGCTTTGCACCATGTCATCTCATCCTCCAGGGACATTACTAGGGGATCCCTGCTCCCTGGTGCTCCCAAAATACTGGAATGTCCTTTTAGGCCTATGAATAATCTGTTTTAAATTAGAGCTACTCTAATGTAAGAGTGGTAGACTAGTGTACATTGGCTCAGAATTGGGAGAATGTAAATGTCATGTAAAGCCACCTTCCCCTCCCACCCCACCATCCTGTAATGAGCACACCACCTGGGAAGGGATTCTTCCCTCCGGTGTGGCCCTTTAGTGAAAGGGCTGTCACAACACCAGATTTAGGTGGGGAGGATCTAATCAACACCCCCCGTCCCCCGATATGGACTTTGCACAAGGTAATTTATGCTGCCATATGAGACCCATGCCTCAAGCCCCTGGCATAGGGGGTATGTCTAAACCAGGAGGCAGTGGGGGGAGGTGCAACAGCATAGCACTTCAGGGATTGTGCTAACTTAGGCTGTCCCTCAATGTTAAGTTATTCAAGGGACCACACTGGCCCCTAAAGCAACCCAGGATTAGGAGGCACAAAGATGACTTGAATATATACAGCACAAAATCTTGCCACTGGTCTTTTACTTCTGTATCGTTAAACAAATTATTCAGGCATTGTTCCTTATCTTTCAGGCTGGATCTGAAGCTGATAAAATGGCTGGTGTTGTGAATTACCCAATGTTTAGTATTGTACTACTTTATCTCTGTGTACCATGTGAGCTTTCTTCTTTTCTTTAATTTAAGTCACTTGTTTTTCTCAGTCTTCTCCCCTACTGTTTTGTAATTTTGTTCCCCTGAAAACAATATACACTTAATCACAAGAAAATGTTTAGTTTTTCAATTCACCTTTTAAACCAAGCTAAAAAAAGCTAGACTGTAAGTAGTTTACAGAGCAAACTGCTATTTAAATGAGCAAACATTAACAACAACACAATTAAGTCTTCAGTAAGATCAGTAAATACAGAATTAGAAGCTCAGTGAATCTTCCTTTAATTAAATGACAGTCACCTTGTCAAGTATGCATATTTATCTCCATTTCCATTATAGCTACATGTCGTTTAGCAAGTTTTTCTGCAGATTTTGACTATAAATTTCAACTTCATCATGTTCCAATAAGAGTTGTTTATTTCACCAGGGTTTCCTATAAGTATCATCAGGGCTCTGTGAAGCTACAGAAGTTACCATTTATCCTGTCGCTCAATGAGTAGTTGTTACGTATTTGTGTTAATTTCATCTTCCATCTTGTGGTGTGTGTGTTTCAGCTGGAATTGCTTGCCTTTTCTCTGAAGCAAGGGATTAATACTACAGGGATTTAGCATGACTAGTCCCCTCCTGACTGTCTGGCGGCTGCTGCTGCTGTAGAAAACAGGAATACATCCTCTTTCAGTAACTACCATTCTAGAAACACTGCCTCTTTTTAAATATTTTTTCTTGTTTCTTATTTTTACAGTTTTTCAATTACTTTTGGCTGTTTCTATTTTCTATATTTCTATTTTGCACGCTTGTTAAACTTTTATTTTATTTTTTTAAAACGTTCTACCATTTTTTAAAGCTCTTGTCTGGTTCTTATGAATATGGAACCCTTCACTCTTATTCAGAATTATCTATAAACTTTTGGAACTCCACGGAGGGTACCTGGTCCAATGTCAGGTGAGGGGCCTGAAAGACTGCACTGGAAGCAGTGGCTTTAGAAGGCCTTAGTCCATAGGCAAAAAATGGGAAGCTGAGAACTTAAGGAAAGGTAACTGTTTACTCTGAACCTTCGGCAGGAGCTGGGACCACAACGTCAAGGGCAGGGTTACAACTGTGTTTTTTTGTATGGTTTCCCTATGTTGTATCGGTGTGTTTATGTTTTTCTGAGGTGCACTGAATTTTTCATGATTTTTCCTGTGCTTTGACTTTATTTTTATATCCTACTCCCAAGGGTTTAATTAAGATTTTACCTTTTCCTTTTGTGTGTGTTCACTTTTGTAGTGGTTGTCTCAAGTTATGTCTATTCTATTCTATTCTTTATCCATTTACTTGTATTTTCCTTGATATATACAAAAAGCAGCTATGTCAACTAACACTCCTGACTGAGCAGGCAAAGGAATCTTCAGGGGTGCCATTAAATGATAGACAAAGACTTCCATTAATGGAAATTTGACATTTTGGAACCCAACAGTCAGGGCAGAATAGCCCTTCCTTTTAATGAGGGAATTCTTAAACCTGCAAAAGGAATTATAGACTACTCCAGCATCTCAGCAATCTGAAAGAGAACTGAACAAAAGAATTAAGGTCCCCTTAAAGGGTTAGAGTATTTTTATTCGCATCTGCCGCCATCATCTCTCCTTCCTTCCCCAGCCCGGAAGAAGAGCTGTGTGTTGTTCGAAAGCCTGTACCTTTCACCAACAAAAGTTGGTCTGATAAAAGATATTATGTCACTTACCTTGGCACCATCATCTCTAGTAGGTACTGCAGCTAATGAAGACCACCTCATGAGAAAAAGAGGCAAAGAAATTGGATCTGTTTGGTCGTAAGAATTATTCAGTGATATCTCTTCAGGTCAGGATTGCAAACTACTTAGCTATGCTAGCCAAATACAGTTATATACAATGGGACAAAATTGCAGATTTTTTTAAAGAGTTACCTCCACATCTGAAGGATGAAATTAAATTGATTTATTGCAGAAAGCGCTTTGCAAGCAATTTTAGACTCTGCAGACACAGGAGCTAGATCAGTCTTCACTGGAATTTCCATGAGAAGGGACACTCACCTTTATCTGCATCACTGCCTAACTGCCTAATGAGGTTAAAAAGGCAGTTCAAGACTTACCCATCCAGGGAAAGGATATATTCAACCTGAAACATTACATTCTGTAAAGGATTCTAGAGCCACACTCAGATTACTGAGGCTTCACACCTCATGTTTTAAGAGGAAAGCAATATAAGTGACTGTTCTCTTCAAGGCAGAGATCTCAACCATGTATTTTGTTTTATCCTAATTTTATTATCAGAAGCAGCAAGATCAGTTTAAAAAGAGACAGAGATTCTAAAAGAGAAGACTGTCTTCTTCATTCTCTACTCAACCATCTCATTCTCAGAAGCAACAATTTTGATACTTCAGTGGAGGTTACTGCACTAGACTGTGTGGATTGGTACCCTTCCCTTCCCCCTTTTGATAACTGCCTTTCTTTTTTCAAGAGTGCTTGGACTTCAATAACATTGCATTTTTGGGTCATCCAGACAGGATACACCCTCCAATTCCATACCATTTTCCCCTCATGCACCTTCCTCATACCTTTTTGGGGACAAGTCTCATGCATCAAGAAAAACTGTCACTACTGGAGTTAGTGGAAATGTTGTTGGTTCCTTTAGCCTTTGGGGGAAAGGGATTTTATTCCCCATACTTTCTTATACCAAAAAGGTATACGAGACTAGGTGCTCCATAGTAGACCTCAGGCTCCTCAACACTGTCATCACCAACACAGAATTCTGCATGGTGACTCTCACATCCATCATACCTTCTTTATATCCCATGGATTGGTTCAGTGCACTCGATTTGCAAGATGCATGTTTTCATGTTGCAATACATCACTTGCACAAGAAATGTTTTCGTTTCCAAGTTCTAGGTGATCGTCATCAATTCCAGGCCTTTCCGTTCAGACTCTCAACTGCATTGCAAGTGTTTACAAAATGTCTATTGTTAGTATCCACCCATCTTCATCATTGAGGGATTTATGTTTACCTGTCTCTTGATCTTAGCACCTCTAATCAGGGAGGATCAACTCAACAGATCTCAGACTCAGTAAGTTCGAATCTACATCTGTTCTTAAACTTGGTTCTGAAGTTCAATCTCAGTCCATACAATTCCTTGGCATACATACCTGCCTCAGGAGAAGTTCCAGAATTTATCTCGCATATTTATTTTCAAGCCTGAGATTGGTCTCAAGTACTCATATCACACCCTTTGCCAGACTGAGGATGAGACCTCTTCAGTCCTGGATCAGGTCAGTTTACCATCCAAACATCCACAGAATGATCATCCCTTCATTGGTGGCTAGAACCAAGCAATGTCTGTTGCGGGTGCCTTTGACTCCAATATTTCCCATTCAGATGTTAGTCACCAATGCATCCACAAAGGGTTGGGGCATTCAACTGGCTTGATTCCAGATCTATGGACTCCTGTGGATTGTTCAGATCACATAAATGTTACAGAGCAGAGCAATTTGCTTAGCCTGCAAATAATTTCTTCCCTCATAAAGAACCAAACAGTATACGTTTTGAAGGTTTAACAGATAAAGTTTTCAATAACAAAATATTACATGGTACATTGTGCTTGTGAGGTTATTTAAAAACTGAAACTTACTGTATCTTCTCTGCACTCTGCTTTTCATATTATTGTAAATAACTTAATTCCATTAATAACAGGATAATTATCTTAATTCTGTGCCAGTTAGGGCAAAATATGCATATATAATCACAGCTACCTTAAAAGTATAGACTGCTTCAGCATATTGATATCATGTACATGTGTGCTGCAAAAACAGTGTCAATTGAACATACAAACTAGGAAGCAAAGAAATGATCAGTGGATTTGTATGAGGAGGTTTCACATGCTTTATGACAGTTGCCCTGCAACCTGAGGCATGTATTATTGGATTTAGATTACTGTCCGTCAATAGCGTGGGAGTGAAACTTTGTTTTTGCAATAGGCTATTTCTTTAAGGAAGTGTTGGCTCATGCTAATGACTTATCCTTTTGGCCTTGTTACTTTAACTCTTTGTAAAAAAAAAAAAAAAACAGTGGCTTGGGACAATGTTAACTCATGGTGAATTTTGGGTACGTTTTGCATACTATTTTATCAGCCAATGGGGAGAGTATTAATGGATATTATCACTACTATAATTCCTACAGGAAGGGTTTGATTAAGAGTTGGACCACTAACACCTGTGGATCCAAAGAGTTTCTTAGGAGGGAAATCAAGGATGCCTATCCTATAGTTTTTATAATCATGTTGGACACCTGGATCCCTAATTATATATGAAGAGCAAAACAGAGTATCTAAAGGGCAATAGTCAGGATATCTATTTTGCAAAGCTGAAGTGTTTCTTGCCCAGGTAAACTGAGGTCTCATTTTACCTGGGTTTTGACTACATTATGAGAGGAAAGGGAGAGGAGTCTCAGAGATATCTGAAAGATAGTAGATGAAGGTCTGTCCATTCATTCATTTCAGCTTCCTTCAGTTGCAATATGCATGTGTAGGTTTGTGCTCGTGAGCGAATTCTTACAGCACTCCATAGTGTTGCTCCATGCAGGCTTTTTGAGGCAGGAATTTTGCCTTCATATGTGTTTGCACAGCACCTAGTACACCCGCAAACAGTCTTCATCCACCTAAAAGTCCCTAAAGATGGCAGATTAATTTTTCTCTGATTGTGATCCACCAATGAGGACTCTTCTCCTCAATTTCAGTCTCCCTTTTTCCTCTTTAAGAGGTCACCAATGAATAATGGGGAAATTATACAGGCCATCGTGATGTTTTCTTTTGTACGGTTAGGAAAGTTCCCTAAGCAGGAGATGTGACTAGGAGGGAAAGAGACACATTTTTGTATATGTTAATTTGATACTTCAACCTGACAGACAAATGTGAAGCAGTAATAACTTGTGGGTTTATTGTTGCTGGTTTGGATTGGCAGAAAGTAAAATTTCAGATAAATTACTTATGTAACTTTAGCCCCCTCGTGGCCAAGATGGTGTCTGCTCTGCAGGCAGCTCTGGCCAAGAGAAGCGTGCAGGAGTGCAGCAGGGAAAGTCCCTTCCACCCAGAGGCACCTGTTCCATACCCCCCAGAGTATGTACGTACGTACGTTTACACACACACACACACACACACACACACACAAAAGTACAATGAATATAAGAAAGGGAATGAAAGGAAAAAAACAACGGGGAAATAGAGGGGGAGTGATAAAACAGGGTTGCATTCAACTCAAGGCCCCACAGGCCTATTAGTACCATAGTCTGAAAGGAGAGACACCGAGCAATGTGTCTGCACACAGAGTTCAGGAGTCCTGGGCAAAGTTCCAGTCCAATGGTGAGTCTTGGGTGCTCCTGGTCTTCTTTGGCACCAGTAAACTTCCCCCCCCTTCCCGTGCTGCCTTCTGCCTCTCTCTGCAAAGCCACACAGAGTGACCGCCTCCTCACTTAACTAGCTAACAGCCTCCCTCATTATTTCCAGTGCAAAGTTTTATAAGGCCCACAGCCCCATGCAGCTTTGGGCAGCAGTGATACTGGATCTAGCTCTGGTCTGTCCTCCTCAGGCGATTCCTCCCTGGCACAGTGCTCCCCCTGGCTCCTGTTCTGGGGCGTCACCGATCAGCCGCTCTGTCCCCTCCCAGGCTTCAGACAGGTTATTGACTGTTTCACTCTGTGAGGGCCTGCTTGCTGCAGCCCTTCTGTCTGGACGGACACGCACGCGCGCACCCCCCCCCCCGTTGCTCTCTTCCCTTCTCTCTGCTCCCCCACCCACCAATAGCACTTCCTCCTTCTGGAACAATCAGGGTTCATAGAGTTTCATTATACAGTTTTTTTCATAGTTATGGTTGAAGAGGCTCTTTAGTTTCAAGTCCCTGCTTTCCGTATGATTGAAAAGATTACAGGTAGATTACATATCTGAATTGTGATAGATCAGACACCCAAGAATGTACCAGCACTCACTTGCTCTTTCCTCCCTGCATAACTGTGTGAAACATCGATCATAATATTATATTAACATAACATTTTTCCAGCTAAGATCTTGTGGAATGTGTTAAAATTGTCATTTTAATATTGCTATAAAGAGGACATTTTATTATCTTTTCAATTGTATGTTGTGTTACCTAGGGGTTGTTCTTATTTCCATCCAAACACTAGATTGTCAATGCAACCTGCATATTAATTACAGTAGAATATATACTCAGCTATTTGAGGTTTTGTTTTGTTTTTTCCCTCAGTCTGTTCTTTCCCATGGAGCTGTGGCTGATTGTGCTGTTGTTGGCCAAGAGGATGCCTTAAAAGGTCTTGTCCCATTAGCGCTATGTGTATTAAGAAATGGTGAGAGCTCATTACTGTTCATAGACTCGTGTATTGTGTCCCTAAGATTTGTATAATGTTGTAAAGTAGTTACAGCATCTGAAATTCCTCACCAGGTATAAAGATAGAGGAGGAGAAAGTTTTGGAAGAAATTGTTAAGTACGTTCGAGAAAGCATTGGCCCAGTGGCAGCTTTCCGAAAGGCGGTATTTGTGAAACAGATACCAAAGACACGTTCCGGAAAAATACCACGTTCTGCTCTTTCTGCTCTTGTCAATGGCAAACCATATCAGGTAAGCTCTAGGTGCTCTTTAACAAGGGATGCTAGCACATCAGCAGAAGTGACTTTATCTTTTGTTTCTTTAATGTATTTTGCTATTGGTTCACAATATCTGATATTGTAATGTCATTTTATTTTTGCCTGGTATATTTTATCTTCACAGTCTTTATAAATGCTTTCTTCTTGATTACTTTAGAAAAATTAGCATTAGAGGAGTTATTGAACCGATTGCTCCTTACTGTATGTGGTATATGGCAGTTCTCTATCATATGTTTATGTATGTTCTTCCCTCTCAGATAACTCCAACTGTTGAGGATCCTGATGTGTTTAAACACTTAGAAGAAGAACTGAAGAAAAAAAAAATAATGTGATTTTTATCCATCAGACAGTGTCTTTTAACAGTAAACTTCCAAACGTCCGGAATACATGAAGAAATTTTCTATTTGGTAACGCAGTTATAGAACATATTTTAGATGTCTGAAATAACCTGGCGCTAATTTTATTACTACAGAACTGTTGCTGCTTTCTCTGTCATGTCGTCATCATCATGGACAGCGAAACATTCTGAGTTTTGGCAGTGTTTGTCATTTGTATTATACTGGAGGTTTAGACAGATAAGAAGTAGATACTTACAGTAGAGAGTTTTAACAGAGCCCTGTAAAGAGGGTTCATAAATTCATAGAGTTCAAGGCCAGAGGGGACCGTCAGATCATATAGTCTGACTACCATATTACACGGGTTTTTAATTTTACCTAGTAACAAAGATCGCATTAGCACCTTTTGCCACAGCATCGCACTGGGAGCTTATGTTGATTTGCTCTACTGTGAACCCTAAATCCTTTCCAGGATACAGCCTCCCATTCTGTAGGTATGGCCCGTGTTCCTTGTTCTACTCCTGGTGGAATTCTGTGCCAAAAAAATTAAAATTCTACGCACAATATTTTAAAATTCTGCAAAATTCTGCATATTTTATTTGTCAAAATAACACAATATAATCACACCAGTTTCAATTATTTTTGATCATTTATTTCAAAATACCTGTCAGCAAGTATGTCTGTAACAATACAGACAACAAAAAAAGATTCAGGAAATGTTTTATGACAAATAGATTCCTTACTAGGCATATTAATGCAGAACTCTGAGTAATAATTCATTTAAACTACAATACAGAACTGTATTTCCCGTATCCCTCAGAAGCAGAGCAAAGGCTTGGGGGAGTCAGGGGTAACTGAGGAGCTGAGGGAGAGGGAGGTAAATTGCTGGGAAGGAGGCTGGGTGTGAACTTGGAGGGCTGTTTGGTATGGGTGAGTAAAGTATGGAACAGGTATTTTTGGGAGGGGGCAGGGAGGGATTGTTAAGGAGCTTCCCCCATGCAGACCCTGGCTTACTCCTAGCCTCTCCCATTCAGTCAGGCACATGGACCCCTGTCTCCATGAGTCTCCCGCCCTCATCCAGCCACTCCCCATCACTATGTAGCTCTGCTCCACCTCCCCTTGTCGCCATATGGCTCTGCACCTCTCTCCTGCCATGGCCCCATGCCTCCACTCCCATTCAGCCCCTGCCCCAGTCCTCCCCCTAGCCCTTATGAGCCCCTGTCTGCCTCTCCCTGCAACTTTGGTGGGCAAACGGCAGAACTGTTTCATACCTACAAAAAAATCATACCTACAAAACAGAACAGTCCAGTTTTGGGCCCCACACTTCAAGAAGGATGTGGATAAATTGGAGAGAGTCCAGCGAAGGGCAACAAAAATGATTAGGGGTCTGGAACACATGACTTATGAGGAGAGGCTGAGGGAGCTGGGATTGTTTAGCCTGCAGAAGAGAAGAATGAGGGGGGATTTGATAGCTGCTTTCAACTACCTGAAAGGGGGTTCCAAAGAGGATGGCTCTAGACTGTTCTCAATGGTAGCAGATGACAGAACGAGGAGTAATGGTCTCAAGCTGCAGTGGGGGAGGTTTAGATTGGATATTAGGAAAAACTTTTTCACTAAGAGGGTGGTGAAACACTGGAATGCGTTACCTAGGGAGGTGGTAGAATCTCCTTCCTTAGAGGTTTTTAAGGTCAGGCTTGACAAAGCCCTGGCTGGGATGATTTAACTGGGAATTGGTCCTGCTTCGAGCAGGGGGTTGGACTAGATGACCTTCTGGGGTCCCTTCCAACCCTTATATTCTATGATTCTATGAACTGCAGCAGTATTTTGGCAGAAGCTTTTTCTGCTTGAAAAATTAGAAATCTGTGGGGCTCATTAAATATGTGCGCACACAGTAGCACAGAATTCCCCCAGGAGTACTTGTTTTTAGATGTATAACTTTGCATTTGCCTGTATTTGGATGCATTTTGTTTGCATAGTCCCCGGTTACCAAATTATCCAGATTGCTCTGCATGACTGGTGAAATGGTAAATAATGATGAGGACTGGGCAATCTATGTCATCTGCAAATTGGATCCCTAGTGATTTTTATATTTACGTTCAGTTCACTGATGAAAATGTTGAATTGCATCAAGCGTCATACCAATCCCAGTGGATTCCCACTAGAAATATCTCCATTCGATGCTTATTCCCCATTGGCAATTACTTTTTGACAGACATTTTTTAGCCAGTTCTTAATTCGTTTCACTGTGCTTTATTGATAATCGTATACTGCTAATTCTTTTAATCAGAATGTTGTGTGATACTTTGTCAAAATCACTTACAAATATGTATATTACATCTGTGCTGTTACGTTTGTCAACCAAACTTGTAAGCTTTTCAAAATGAAATCAGGTTTGTTTGGCAAGACCTAATTTCATAAACCATGTTGCCTAACATTAATTACATTCCTATCCTTCAATTCTTTATCTGTTGAATCCGGTGGCAGCTTTTCCTTTAGTTCACCCAGCATTGATTTCTGGCTACCTGGCCTATATTTACCCAGGTCATCTCACTTGTCCTTCTTGAATATTGGCACATTTCTCCACTCTTCTGGAAGTTTTTTGAAAGTTATCCAGGCCTACTGAATTGAAAATGTTAATCACTAGTAGATGTTGCTTAACATCCTCTTGGTTACTAATGGACTGGACAATACAAGCGTATAATCTTGCTTCAGTTCAAATATAAAATGCAGATATTTATTGAAAACTTCTGCCTTTTCTTCAGCAGTATTAACAATTTTACCATCTCTGCCTAGTAATGGGCCTATACCATTGCTAGGATTTCTTTTATTCCTAATATACTTTAAAAATTCCTTCTTATTATCCTTAACCCTAGCAGCCAGGGATTTCCCCTGATGTGTTTAGCTTCCCTTATCCATTTTCTACACTTCACACATTCTTATTTATATCAATTGCTATTCCTTCCCTTTTTCCATTTGTTGTATGCTGATTTTTTTATTCCTAATTGCTGCCTTCGCTTTGCCACTGAACTAGGATGAGCTTTTAGCCAAAGTTTTTATCTTCCTTTATTGTGGACTTATGGCTTTTTGGCCATTGTCTTGGTGGTGGAGCATGCTAATTTGCCTGATGCTTTTCATGTGTATCTTTACTTTAAAGTAATGTCACAAATAGAGGGAAAAGAAGGAAGGAAAGACAAAGACTAAATTAGGACTGGATATCTTTCTAAAATATATCTCTAGCTCCTACAAAAATTATGGGATTGATGCAGAAATTACTGGGTGAGGTTCTATGGTCTGTGTTATGCAGGAGGTGACTGTAGATAATCATAATAGTCCCTTCCAGCCTTAAAATCTGTGAACATCTGATTATGGCTGACCATCACTGGCTAATTGATGACAAACAAAGAGCCACTGAGCACCTTTTTAACAGCTGTTTCTGACCTCCTTCCTCCCCTCCGCCCCCTCCCACCCACCATAAAGCAGAGCTGTCTTTCCTGGGTAAGCCTCAGACAAACTCTGCCCCACCTTAGTTGTGGTGCAGTCATTCTCGCAAGGTGCTAAATATCCCAGAGAGTTGTTTGAGCACCCCTATGCCTTTATGAGGTCATTGGAGGCTGCAGCTGCCAAGCCAGTCACAGGAGAGAGCCTGTACATTTGAGTGTGTTCTAGGTTTCAAGTGGTAGTTTTTAGTGCATAATGAAATTAATAGTCTTTGTTATTTTTAAATAAGTATTCACAAAATTCGTACAACAGATCTTAAAAAACAAACAAATTCAAAACAAAGTCAGCATTTCCTGCCATAGGAAATGACACGAAGCAATAAAAGTTGCTATAATGAATGAGAGACTCACTTAGTGAAGCTCTGCTATGGGAGAGCCCCTTAGTGAAGATAGTTTAGGGATCTCCAGTTATTTTTCCAGATCGGTCCATACCTGAGGGATATATTTTGTTTCTATAGGGATTTATAGATACCCTAAGAGTATCTATAGGGATTTATAAGACTATGCCTTATTTTTTGCTATGGGCAGTATCTCCTTAAAAAAAGAAGACATCCAGGAGGATAGCCATCAACTAATGAGTAAAGGTAGGAGGCTGTTAAGTGACACAGTACTGGAACCAGATAAAACAGCAGACTGATCATAATGGCTGGGAGGGTGTTATAGATATATATATATACACACATATATTAAAAAAAATAAAGGTGACTCCCATTTGAATGCTCTCTTGGGCCCGGCTCCTGCAAACTGTTCTGGGTGAGTGTGGAGCTCTGCCTTTGCAGAACAGTTTGCAGGACTGGAGCCATAGCTGGTAACTGTAAAATATTCCAGAAAGTTCTTGCCTTGCACTGAAAACCTGGGACCGAAGCAATGAAATAGTGAGACTGGAACCAAATATGATGGAAGAAACCACTACACTATCAGATAGAATGAGTAGAGTTACATAATAATTGAGTCCTTAGTTAATTTTATGCTTTACCCACCAGGATGAATAAATTAACGATCCTGTTCTCCTGTTCAATTCAGGTGCATGAATTGAATGGCATGGCCCAGCAGCAGGACTAGCCACTACTTAAGACCTCAAAATAAGGGTTGAGGGGGACTTACATAGGGGATAGGCTCTCTGCACAGGTTTTAAATTTTCTCTCGTAAGACACTTAGGGATGTGAGTAAGTTTGCTCATGCGAGTAGTACTGTTGAATTCAGTAAAGTTACTCACCTATCTGTTTGCAGGATCAGCTCCTTAATTTCCTCAGTTTGGCTATAAAAATGACATTTTTGCAACGTTCTCCTTCTACTGCATTTGCTGTCTCTTTGTAGGCATCTAAGATGATCTCTATGCATGTATGTGTAGCTTTGGAGGGAAGACTGAGATGTCCCTATGAATGCTGCAATGCTGTCTGTCTACTTCGCTTTGTTAGCTAACTAATGTTAACTTAAAGTGTACTGCCTAATATGGAGTGAATCAAAAGCTCCAACTTCAGAATTTTCCCCCTCTGAAGAGTAGTGTTAAGCTCTGAGATATAAAATTGCAGAAAAGCTAAATAACAACAGATATGGCAGCTGTAAATATAAACCAAGAGCCTTATTCACCACTGCCTTGCATTTTGTTTAGATCGGTGTGGAAAATGATACCAAATCAGATGTCAAATATTTTTTGTGAATATGAAAAATTCAGTATAGCAAGCTAGTTTTCTTTGTACTTTACTCAAACCAGAACTACTTTATGAGGCATTAGTTTGGATGCAGGTGTCTTATCCTGTGGACTGTAGAGTTGTATGCTAGCTGCTTTCCTATGTAATAAAATTGATGAACATTTAAAAGTAAATTATAGTCTTTTGGGTTACTCTTTTTTCCTTTGTAAATAGAATGCCATAAAAATGTCCATGAAGGGAAAAAGTAATTATAGAGAGGAAGATGCCTTGGGGTTAAGGCACTAGCCTAGGCCTCTAGAGACTTGCTTCATGACCTTGGGCAAGTCACAAGCTCTCTCTGTGCCTGTTTCCACACCTCTAAAATAGGATAATACACCCCAGTCTTTGTCTGTTGTGACTATTTTATGCTTTTTCAAGTAGGACTGTCTCTTAACATGGGTATGTACAGCACTTAGAACTGAATGAAACCATCTTTGTAGACTTCCTAGTAGTTGAAGAGCTTTCTTTATTAAACAGGACTAGATGGCTCCAGAAAGTGCTAAAAGGATTTTTTGTCTTTGTTTTGTTTTTTAGTTCAACTATTGCTCAGGTTTCTACTGACCAAAAGTCATTATCTAGATTTGTAGTGTCCTATGTGAATAGAGCTGGGGTTATAATTCTGCATTGAAAAGAGTCTTTAATGACACAAACCACTGTTACAGTTGGTATATCTGAGAATGGAATGGGCCCTTTAAATGAAATTCCTTCTATTTGGATGTTCCTTTTAGGCCAAGGTTCATATGCGTTATACTTGCACCACTACCCTTGGTGGTGAATTAGTGTAGAGATAAATAGGAGATCAGAGATGCCAAACTGATAATTTTCACTAGTGCGTTAAAAAATTAAATTGTGTATAAATGTGTTTCTGGGGTTTTACTGGTGATACAAAAGGCAAAAGTAATTGTTTGGCCATGAAGTTATGATTTCAGACTGTATTTTATTTATGGTACTGTTTGGTGGTCTATGAAATGCACAACCATGCATGTCACTCAGGCCTTATGATGGCCCTTTGTATAGGGGTAATGTCCTCCTCCAAGCACAATGTCGCTTCTTGCACAGCATGGCTGCTGGCTAATAACCAATTTATCAAGAGTTTAAGTACCCTGAAAATAGGAAAGCAGTGATTTTAACTGGTGTTTTTTTTTAAGAATGTGAATAGACTTGAACAAAACTTTGAAAGCTGGTATGTTTGAGCCCACTATAGTGTTTTGTCTGTGTGCTAAAGGAGTGTAAAATGATGTTGTGACATCAACCATGGCCATCTTAGGTTGGCTGAGATAAATGTTCCAGAATCTAAATCATACATAAGGTAGACACATCTTTGTGAATTTTAACAGCATACCAGCCAAAGAACTCCCTAAAACCCTGGACACTTGGTAAGGATACCTGAGAATGGGTTTGAATGGCTACCACAATTGCATGTTTTTCTTTTGTTGAGAATGGCAATCTAACTCAGGAGCAGGGGGAAATAATTAGACAGAGGCTCTGGAACAGAACTTTTCACATCCAGCTTTAAGCATTTATAGGTTTTTCCTTCTCTGATCTTCCAGAGTAGAAATAAGAGATTTAGGGGTTAGTCTGTCTTCTACAGGCATGTAACTTCTTGTTCAGTTCACAGGGATTTCTCCTTTGTGTTGCTCCTGGTTTGGGCTGAGACTATGTGAAAACTGCAAACAAAACAATAAATACTGGACTGGAACGTAATGAGGGGTTTGCTCAAAAGAGACAAGAACTACTGAAAATGTTGGAGTTTGCACTGTTTTTACTTATTTACATTTTTTCACTAAAACAATCAAAAGGGGGGAAAACATTAACATGAAAGCTAGTTAAGCCTGAGGAATTTGAAGTAATGTCTTTAGCTTTATTGTCTTGACATTTGATCAAATTCACCATATCCTACAAATAAGCAAGTGTAGTTCTCCCTCTAGTGGCAAACTCAATATTAAGCTCATGTTGATAACAGTCTCTGCCTGGGAAAAATTTCTTATGCTTTGAGATGTGCCAGTCATCCAAACTGCTTTTCCATGCTACCATATATCCAGCCTTATAGATATTAAACACAAATAGCACTGAACATTTTTATTGACAAGGGGGGAGAAAAATCTGTCACCATTTGATTGACTGAAATCTGTCAAATGAAAATAGACAATAAAACAAATGTTTAGGTACGTGCAAACATTGCAGATCAAAATGCTAAAAGAAATAACTAAAAGACAGATCTTGAGATAGTATCAAGCAGCAGAAAATTAGCAAATAGGTCAATGACATTATTAAATTGGTCTTACTTTGAAACTTCCCATATAAACAGAGAATAAACAACACTAACACCACCAAATAAAGCCACAGTAGGTAATAATTGCTCTTCTAAACTTTTATACACTATATATTACCATTCTGTCTTTCAGTTATTTCCTCTGATAAAACTGACTTCCAAGAAGTCTCAGCAAGGCCATCTTGGCTAAAAGCATAACGTTAGACAGGAATTTGTCTAATGCCCTGTTACAATGAAGAAATGGTGGAGTTTGGCATTTTTTAATAGAAAACTTGAACATCAGATTCTTTGCAGTGTTCAGATTTTTACATCCCACGCTGGCTGGCATCTGAAGATCTTGGAACAAAAAGATGGCTCTTGTTCCACAGGTAACACAGGAGAACGTTTGTTTTTTTTTAATACATAATTTTTCGGTAATTGCTTTTGACTCTTGTAAACAGTTTTGTTTTTGTTTTTAAAAGGAGAGCCATCACAGTGCTTTTCTACAGGTATTACAAGTATCTGATGTTTCTCCTTGACTTTATAGGTCCATTTTGGCTCCAGTTCCAGTTTAAATCATCCTTTTATACATCATCAGAGGCAGGTGTTCAGCTTTAAATATTGACAGATCTTTAAGTAGGAACGGGTTGAAGCGTCTAACTCTGCTAAACATATTAATTTGACTGTTACAATCAAAAAACTGTAAAAATGGTGGAATGGAAAGATACAAACAGTATTGTTGACACTGTGTTGTCAAGTGTCTGCACTGAGACCCCATGTACCATAGATTTTATTTTAAAAAAATCATATTTATATCCCTTTACATACACATTTTAAAAGAAATACACAGTAAATACGTAGATGGCTGGTATATTACAATAAAACTGATGAACAATGTAAAAATGAGTGGCTCCACTGGATAAAACCCTTGGTTGTGCACTACTGCCAAATTTATGATGAGAGAGATGCTTTGGTTTTTTTGTTTTTAAAATGATTTAGGTATTTTATTACTCTTGTATTAAACTAACCAATAACTTAATACATGAAAAGAACATCACATTTTTTTAGCTTGATAAAACTTTGTGTTCTCTTCCCTATTACCCTGTTCTTGAAGAGACCTTTACTGCTCCTTTTCCCCAAAATAGTGGTAGTGCACTTCAGGTAAAGTAGAAGAAAGAGATGATATCTAAAGACAAAAATAAAAAACATTAATTAGCAAGATTCTTGATTTATATCCTTTTTACCCAGACCTGCTTTATAGTGAGACCACTGGAAATATCATAACACTTCATACTATATTTCATGTTTTGCTAAAACTTGAGCTTGAGAGAGAGAGAGAGAGAGTAAACTTTCATTTATTGTAAATCTTACATCTCTTTCTTTCTGTGTATGTGAATGGAATGTAGCTGTAATTCTTTACATTGTTTAATCGTTTACTAACATGTAGAAATTATTTTTCAAATACTGAAATTCAAGCAAATATTACAATAAGTTATAGCTTTAGCATATTATAATTTTGAAGGCCATAGGAGGCCTTCCAGTATAAAAGAGTTGTGTACATTTCAAATCTTTACTCTTCGTCCACTACTTTTTATGCCCTCCATCCTGTAGATCATCAAGGACAGACCGCATTAGGGCGCCACCTACTTGTACCAGGAAGTAAATAAGCAAAAGCTGTTATGTATGGAGTCTTTGTCCATCCACTGCAGAACCTACAGTTCTTTTGCCTCATTGTGCCTGGAAGCGTAAAGCCTGCACCTCAGTGCTTCTTCCCCTAATTCAAGTTCCTTCTCTTTTGGGACCAAAGAGAAAAAATATTCCAAGAATCCAGAATTGTGGATTACTTGAGAAAAAAGATCCTGACCTAGTCAAGCTTATTCTTTGGAGTCTCTGAGAATCTAGTTTCCAGGTCTCTCCTTCATCTGGAGTTGCTGAAGTCTTTCCTTTTGTCCAAATGGCACTCATCCCCTTCCCTTGAGGAAACTCTTTGGTCCAAAGGAAGCTTGGTTCACCCGAGTATAGTGTTCCCATTTTCCTCATGTTGCTGGAACTCTCATTTCTACCCTCTTTGAACCAACTGTATATCACCTCAGATATGATTAGCTTGGATTCGGGTACTCTGCTGGGTCAGTACAACTGTGGATGTCACCCCTTTTATGTAGACTAATTAACCTTACAAGATAAATATACTACTAACTAGCAAACAGTATGGTGCAACCGAATCATTGCCTTTTGTTTTATATAGCTTGTTTGTAGTTATCACATTTGCTTTTGTATAAATGTTTATTAAGATAATTTTCTAGCTTCCTTGAAATTTTTGCAGTTGCATATAAAAACAGTGAGGGAGACCATCTGAATAATTACTGTAGCATATTCCCGCTATAAAAAGTGGACTGGAAATTAATAAAACCAGTATTACATTAATAACATTTTAGTCATTCACATGTTAGGGATGGGCAACTGGAAATTAAAGGAAGAAATGATTGATTCTTCTCACTGGAAAGATGACTTGTAATAAAGATGTAATTGCAAAAGACTGGTCAAAGGCTTGGACCCAATAGACATCACTCATACTCAAGGTAGTAGTAATATTCCTGTAGAGTATATTAAACATATTTTTATACCATTCTATAAATGTATTTTGTTTAAAATACAACACAGTACAGCTCCAGTAATTTTTTGCTGCTGCTTATCTGTGTTTAGCTTTTGGGTTCTTGGGCAATAACAGCGCTCCAGCAGTAACAGACCAATTGGATAATTGTAAATTAACATATTTTTCAGTATTTGCAATCCCTGCCATTCATGTATTCATTGTAACTTGAAAGAAACTCTTTGGGGAATGTCACTGAAATTACATCCATGGGAGGCTCACAATATTTGGGTAATTTAGTTGCATGCCATTGCAACATTTTTTAAATTATGATTTTTGCTTTCTACATTATGCCTTTCAAGCTCAAAGCAATACATTATTAATGCCCACTCCCATTGAACTGATTGAGAGTTTTGTCATGAGGTAGCACTGGGCCCTAAATGACTCAGACATTGTTCTCTGGGTAGAGATGGGCTGTATTGTCCTCTTTCCAGGGTCATGAGCCAGTAGCAGCCAATTGTGCCAGAAACTATTCACCAGCTATGTCACAAGGTTTGAAAGCCAAACTCTGAATCACTTAAGGAAAATTCAGATCTGAGTCCAGCAGGGAACAGGTAGGTTGATCTCCTCTATGTCTCTGGCCATTAAGTTTCATCCAGTTCCCCCTGTATTAAGCCCCAAGATGTGTTTGGCTAAAGCCAAAAAAAGAAAGTCTTGATCTAAACACATCAAGAGATAGAGAATCTGCCCCTTCCTTTGGTAGTGGACTGCTCATGATTTCCCTGGACTTACAACATTCTAAGCCCTTCAATTGCCATTTTAAAAAAAATCAACCTGACAGAAATGCTTCCTTCTCATCCTCCATATAACTATTTACCTGCCTGAGGTGCAGGATGTGCCAGACTCACTGCTGAAGCTGAAACGGTTTTTCTTTATATAAAAATGATGTGAATTTTATTTTACTACCCTGCATGGCTAGAAAAGAAAGCTTTATACCATTGGAAAGGGGAGATTTTCAGCTTCTCTAAGGGACCCAGAATTTGCCTAACTCCTATTGAAATCAGTGAGAGTTCAGCCCAGCTCCTCAAAAATATTCAGGTACCTACAAGCTGCAGTGGGGGAGGTTTAGATTGGATATTAGGAAAAACTTTTTCACTATGAGGGTGGTGAAACACTGGAATGCGTTACCTAGGGAGGTGGTAGAATCTCCTTCCTTAGAGGTTTTTAAGGTCAGGCTTGACAAAGCCCTGGCTGGGATGATTTAACTGGGAATTGGTCCTGCTTTGAGCAGGGGGTTGGACTAGATGACCTTCTGGGGTCCCTTCCAACCCTTATATTCTATGATTCTATGATTCTACATCACCTGGCTTTACAGGTGAAGGGCTACAAAAAAATTCTTAATGTTTCAGTGACACACATGGCATATATAAAACAATGGTTGTGTGGTATAAAGTTTCTTTTGAACTCATTTGGGGAAACCTATGCATCTCATTTGTGAGTAATGCTGTAATCCAAACTCATGGTTTAATACACGATTGTGTATTTTTATTCTCTCTCTCTCTCTCTCTCTCTTGCTATACATGAAAATAGAAAGAGGCAGCTGAATACTGTGGTGACAGGTGCTTTATAAATGCCTATGATTATCTGCTGAAACTTAAAATGGAAAGGAAAACTGTTATTTAAGTAAAATTAGCATGAAATGGTGGCATATTAATGGAAGTGCTCATCATGTTCTTATTTTTGTAAGAGGGATGATTTGGTAACAAACTATATATTTTCACACGGCTGTATTTTGTTCAAAAGTGTATTTGTACAACTAGTACGTGTGTAGATGACAAATGATGAGATATTTAAGTAATAAGAACCACTACATCCGACCTGACCCCTGTGTATATCTAGTCCAGTATCCTGTCTTTGCCTGTGATGAATATCAGGTGCTTTGCAGAATGTGTAAGAACTTTCATAACGGATAATGTTGGAAGACCTTATCCACGGGAGATGATTTGTTCTAACTCATGCCAACCACCACCCAAATGATGTCCTAAAGCAGGTTTATAGCTCTGACTTCTTTTTCTTAAGTAAATCTAGTGTAACTGTTCTCTTTCATTAGGCTCTTCTCTAAAGTGAAGTTCCCCAGTGTCATATATGCATGTAAATTCCTCCTTTTTACACCATCATCTCATCCATACAGCAAGACCCTGAAATTCCTCTGTCAAACTTTCTCTTCTTTGAGAACCAGAAGCATATTAGAGAAAGCTATCGTCAAGGCCTGACTGTTCCTTTCTCCTAATTAGCTGAATGTAGGTTCCAAGACCCTTCCCTTCCCTATGTCACTGGTACTAATATGTACCATGACCACAGGTTCCTCCTGAGCTCTCACTAGAAATTCACCTCGATGTCTCAACACATTTTCTTGGTCAGCATCATCACAAGCTATCCGTCTTAAACAGCATCCTTATCTCTTCGCGGGTTTGACCAGTTTATTAGAAGAGTTGCCCATGAAAGAGAGGAAGAAGTTGCTGTTTGAGATGGGAGGTGGAGTAAGAGGCTGGCCTCCCCCAGACTGAGCCCCACTCACTTTGATAAACTAGACCTGCCTGGGGGAATGGACCTCATCTTGGCTTTCATTTCAGTAATGTCAGTGAATACGGGGTATAGTGTACATTTATACAGCCTCCATGATGGCTTTTTGTGAATACTCACAGCAATTCAGTGCTGGCTTCTTTGCTAGCCTTGTCAACATGAGTATGTGCGAACTGTAGAGCTGTCTAACCTCTGCAATCGTGATGAAGCAACTGCAAATTGGAAAAAAACCCTCTTTAGAATAACGAAGAAAATTAATATATTTTCCCCTCCCTGAAAGTGTGACTGTTAAATTACTGTGTAGCTCATTCTGTCCAACCTTCTGGGTTTGGTCTGGTCTATAAAGCTCATTTAGAGTTGCTAGATGTCTGAGACACTGTTGAAAATCTGACTGCTTCAGGAAAAAGAAGAGGTTTTCCAACTTACTGATGCCATTATTGTTGTTAATACAGCATCACAGGTGTGCATTACACTTTAATGTTCATATCACAGGAAGGTGGGAAGTATGGTCCCAGAGCCTGGCTTAATGGACACAGAATTGTGCGTCAGGTAGCCCTGAGCTCAACTGTCATGTCAGCAACAGACACGCTGCCCTATGTGACTTGGGAAGTCACTTAATCTACTCTGTGCTTTAGTTCCCTAGCTGTAAAATGGGAATAATACTTTCCAACCTCACAGTAGTTCTAGGAGGATAAAATCCATTAACGATGGTGCGGTGTTCAGATCCAGTGGTGATTAGGGTTATGTAAGTACCTACTTAGATAGTACCTTTATTCATAGCTGGAAACCACCTTTGAAATTGATCCCGCCTGCCCTATGACTTTGCACTATTGCTAAAAAGTATAGAATAGAGAAAAAAGCATGAATATGAGCAGTGCAGTCAATGGAATTAGTGATGTGGTTAGTAACGTATGCCATTTGTGCTACGATATAAGATGTTTTTAAAAAAGATAAGCTTCTCATACATGGAATGTAGAGGGATATATTTTTATACCAAATTCTTTAAACAGCTGCAAAAAATAACTACCACCAATATACCAATTATTTTGAAGACTGAGACTATTAGTGTTTGATAATGCTTCTATCAAGAATGAAATACTATTCTGTGGTGAAATGAGTGCACAGTGTTTCTTCTTCTGTGTAGAAGGGTTAGAGGGAAAATTAAGACTGGTACGCGATAACATTGTCAATACCTGCAATGTGGCCTTTGACTTCTGTTTACACTACCTACCCAGGGTCTTGATATTTAACTGCTAGCAGCCACGGTTAGTTCGTCGTTAAGCCGAGGGGTCAGATTTGAAAATAAAAGAAATACTGAAAACTGACATTCTGGAACACAGCTTGAAAAAGATGGGGGTTACCATGTCACTGCATTTCCCTTCCCCGTTTGAGCCCTAATTAAACCTCTATTGTACCTGTGACTGTACTAAACTTGTTCAGTTCCAGGCTTAGTGCTAATTGCCCAAGTTCAAGTTAAGTACCAAAGCACTTCATACCATCTGTTGTCATTTTTCGTGACTGCCCTGATGTTGTAGTTAATCTGAATCCAGCTGGAAGTGTTTCTGAAGAGCCAGGCATCATGCTGATTCCATGGACCTCACGTGGAGGAAACTGTCTTCGCCAGGAAGGGCCACGTCTGAAGTTCTTGTCATCGCTCTGCCAATACAAATGTTTGTGTTTGATAAAACTAAATTAAATTCATGATTAGTTCTCTGGATGGGTGCTTCTTCTCCACCTGTTAAGTTTATTTTCTAGAAAATAGATTACTACATGTTTCATGTCATCCAATAAGAAGGAAGTGTATGTGAGACATTCTTATAAGAGCAACTGCTTTAGAAACTTGGAAATACTGGATTAGAGGGTTTTTTCTTGAATCTTTTGCATGATACACTGTCAGTTCTTTTTGTTGTCTGCTGATGTAGCACATTCTGAAAAATCAATGAGGGATAAAGTATCTCCACCTAGGCTCTCTATTGAATTCAAAGGCAGGAGATAAAGTAATAGATTAATCAGATGAGGAGGAATAAAAGTTTTTAAATCCAATCATTCAGTTCTTCTGTGGTCAGTTATATATATGTAACTCCAAACTCCTAAACAGTGAAATCAGACATGAAATTTATTTTTCAACATAAATTCCAGTCACCTGTCATATACTGGAATTTATTTTTAAATAATTTCAGTTTATGTGAAAATTTGTACCATGTGTTTGTAACCACATGCAGAAAATCCTTGCTAGAAATACTGAGTCTGATAAAAGAAAAAACTAATAGTGTGGGTTCTTCTCTTAGTGTATCTGTGCCAATTTGCATTAATATTAATGAAAACAACATATGTGTACCAAAGCTAGAGAGAGCTATATTAAGTCAGCAATTTATAAACAACTTACGAAATTTCAATAAGTGGTTCTTGAATAGATTAATATTGGGTAAAAAATGAATAGTGAAATCCAGTTCTAAACCAGTTCAACTATCAGTATTTTCTCACAACTTGCTTTAAGGAACAAAGTATGGTTCTGAAAGTATTTTTCATACATCCTACTGCTTTTAGTCTATCAAGTGGAGTTTTGTCTTCCCTGATCAGGAGGCAAAGATCTGTCAGTCAGAGATGGTATATAACTAGGGCCCAACCAAATTCATGGTCATGAAAAACATGTCAGGGACTGTGAAATCTGGCTACTGTAGGGGAGACCAGATTTCACAGAGCTGGGTAGTTGGAGAGCGGCGACTGTGGGCCCAGGAGTGGACTGTGGGCCCAGCTCAGAAGTGAAGGTGGCATGGTCATCGCTTTTGGGGGGGGCAGGGCTGGCCTTATGGGGGGGCAAATGGGTGACTGCCCAGGATCACATAGTCAAGGGGCTGCCGTGGTCACCCCTCACACACACACACACACAGCCAACCCAAGGGCCCTTTAACTCTTGGAGCTGGGGAGGGTCAGGGCTGGGGACGCCCCGGCTTGGGGTTCCTATTGTGTGCCGGACTCCGGCTGCTAGTCCTGGACAGGCTGGGGAAGTACAGGCCTTCCTCTTTCCCTGCACGGGCCACTCTTGGGGACAGATCAGAGCTGCCTCCAGGAAGCTCTCCTGGCTGCAGGAAGCTCTGTGGCTGCTGGCTGGGTTCCCAGCTCTGATGGCAATGCAGCCACCAGCAGCAGCGCAGAAGTGAGGGTGGCAATACCATGACTCCCTGACAATACCCTTGTGAGCACCCCGGCACCTTTTGGGTCAGGACCCCCCACAGTTACAACACCATGAAATTTCAGATTTAAATATCTAAAACCCTGAAAGTTACAGTTTTAAAAATCTTATGGCTGTGAAATTGACCAAAATGGACCGTGAATTTGGTAGGGCCCTGTCATAAATATAAAGGGAAGGGTAAACCCCTTTGAAATCCCTCCTGGCCAGGGAAAGCTCCTCTCACCTGTAAAGGGTTAAGAAGCTAAAGGTAACCTCGCTGGCACCTGACCAAAATGACCAATGAGGAGACAAGATACTTTCAAAAGCTGGGAGGAGGGAGAGGAACAAAGGGTCAGTGTTGTCTGTGTCTGCTCTTGCCAGAGACAGAACAGAATGGAGTCTTAGAACTTTTAGTAAGTAATCTAGCTAGGTATGTGTTAGATTATGATTCCTTTAAATGGCTGAGAAAAGCATTGTGCTGAATAGAATAACTATTTCTTCTGTGCATCTTTTTTGTAACTTAAGGTTTTGCCTAGAGGGGTTCTCTATGTTTTTGAATCTAATTACCCTGTAAGATATCTACCATCCTGATTTTACAGGGGGATTTCTTTATTTCTATTTACTTCTATTTTTTTATTAAAAGTCTTCTTGTAAAAACTGAATGCTTTTCATTTTCTCAGATCCAAGGGTTTGGGCTGTGGTCACCTATGCAAATTGGTGAGGCTTTTTATCCAACATTTCCCAGGAAAGGGGGGTGCAAGTGTTGGGAGGATTGTTCATTTTCTTAAGATCCAAGGGTCTGGGTCTGTAGTCACCTAGGCAAATTGGTGAGGCTTTTTCCAAACCTTTCCAGGAAGTGGGGTGCAGTTTTGGAAGTATTTTGGGGGAAAGAGCTCCAAACAGCTCTTCCCCAGTAACCAGTATTAGTTTGGTGGTGGTAGCGGCCATTCCAAGGATAACGGGTGTAATGTTTTGTACCTTGGGGAAGTTTTGACCTAAGCTGGTAAAGATAAGCTTAGGGGGTTTTTCATGCAGGTCCCCACATCTTACCCTAGAGTTCAGAGTGGGGGAGGAACTTGACATGGTGGCACAGTGGTGGGATTAACCTGAAATCATTTGAGTCTTGAATTTTTGAACTAGAAATACAGATTTTAAAAGGAAATTTTTTTTTTTGGAAAGAAAGTCCAGAAAGCACTTTGAAACTGAAAGCAGCTTGGTTTCTCTCTGCTTTGTGGCAACAGAGACAAAGGGGATTATCTTGGAATTGCGTTTTTTGTGGAGGCAGGGTTATTGCGGAAAACACTTCCAACTTTTTTCTTCCTAAAATAAATAGGGGTGTGTGTTTCATTTCTTTTCTTGGGTGGGTAAGCAGTTTCAAGCGTTGGAGGTTTTTGTTTAATTTGGGGGGCGGAATTGCTTTTTGTAGGGAAATACTATCAGAGAATAGGTATTCTATTGCGCAATTTTACCTTTTTTTTTAAATGGGGTAAGTTAGTTAAAACAGAGATTAGAAGAAATAGTGGTCATTGCTTCGGCGAGGAAACAAAGGAAGAAAATAGAACATGACGAAGAAGGAACAGAAAGGGAGAAACAGAGGCCAAGAGGAAAGGGCAAGGGCCAAAAACTGAGAGGAAAAGAGAGAAGATGTGGGGGTGGAAAGAAAAGGCAATATACCAACAAACCCTAGCAATCCTCTCCTACCTTCCCATCCCAAATTCCCCACCTACAACAGGATGATAGAGGCTTCTTAGAAACTGAGTTGGGTCCCTCGACCATGGTGCTGGTAGTGGACCTTAGCGGTGGTGTGTAAAGAAGAAATGAATTAATCCAGGCAGGGGAAAGGGGTTCTGGTGGAAATTATTGAAATGGGGGTTTGAACCAAATTTCCTATGCAATGGACTTAGGGTGGAATGAAAACCTAGGGGAAAAATAATTGAGGCGGAGAAGGAGAGGGTGGGGTGGAAAAAAAGATTGGGGGACCGACACCCCTATTACCGGGAACCCCCACCTCCCAAAAACTCCGACCCCTTTTCCCCCACCCCTTCTCCGCAACCCCCTCCCCGGACCCGGGAGTTTTAGTACGGCGGGGGAGAAGAAACGTTACTCATGCAGGAACACACGCAAAACAACGGGGGGGGGGGGGAGGTGGGGTTGGGCTTCAGCACATTCTTGGTAGGGCAGGGCTCCCCGCGTGGGGGGAACAGAGGGTGGAAGGAAGGGGGCGGGGGCTGCACCGTGGGCCGCAGCCGACCAAACGCAACCCAGCCCGAAAGGCAAGCCAGGGGACAACATAGCCATTACCAAAACCCTGGCGAACTCCCTTCTTCGTCGTTTGTTGTGGTTTATACAGAAACTTTGGTGGCCCGCTCCAGTGCTGCACCCAGCGCGGGGTGAAGCAATGGGGGCCGGGGGGGGGGGTTTAGGCTTGGAGGGTGCAACTGTCTGGACTGGGCTTCAAAGGAAAAGGTTGAGGGGTAAGAACGGGGGGTGCTTTGGTGGAGGGGGGAGAAAAGGGCGAGCACAACGCGGGGAGAGTTTAGGAATTGGGGGGTGTAGGCGATGGGATGGTTGCGGTGGGGTTAGGGTTTGCGTTGGGGTGGGGGGTTGGGGGGGGGTTATGGTCTGGACTTTGAACCAACAAACACCCGCCCTTGCCCTTGGAAATGGCAAAGCAAAACGGGATAAACCGCTCGGGGGGAAGAAAGGAGGGGGAAGGAGGCCGGGGGGTTACCTAGCCCCCACCCACGGTTTTCGAAAGGTTTGGGAGTTGGGGGGGGGGAGGGGGGGGAGAAGGATGAAGTAGCACATTAGGGCCAACCGGGCCCCAAACTTGAGGGCGGATGTTAAGGGGGGCCTGAAGGGGTGGGTTCTGCCCAAACGGGATGGGGACCGTCAGCTGTAACGGACACCAAGCCCCGGAACTTGAAACGGGGGCACACCGGACTTAACCAGGGGGGGATGCGGAAGTGGCGTGATTTGAGCGGTGGCGGGGTTGGGCGGGGGTGGGGCTGGATCAAACTGTAAGGGGGGGTTAAGAGGTCAAGGAACGGGGAAGGGGGCGAAACCGGGGTCAAATCAAAAAAGAACCTTCTGGCGGGGAACAGAGTTGGACGCAAGCGACGAAACAAACGCGTAGTGGAGGAAAGGTCGGGTTTAACAACTAAGAACAGCGATGTTGGGCGGCAAAGTGAACCGGGGGGGGTTAATGCGAAAGACGACAGCAGTGGTTTTCGCAAAGGGGAAAGCAACGGAGCACTAAAAGAGTAGGCTAGGGAAAAGTTGGGGAGGGCATGCAAAAGCAGGGCAAGCAAAGAAACAAACTTGGGGGTTAGCCATTTGTTCGAACCAAACAGGGCCAACAAGGCGGCTCCGATCGCAACGGAAAAGGGGGGAAATGTTGCTTAGACTTGGTGTATTTTAGAGGCGTGCTTAACCGTTCCTGGCGGAAGAAACGGGTGCGTTGGGGGGGATAAGGGAGGGAAACTGACCTGGCCGGGATGAGGGTAAGATAGGAAGGGCAGACAAAGACAAGAGGCATTCAAAAGCGGGGGGGGAGAACAAAGGGCGGCGCTGTGGGCTTGCCGACAGGAAGGGCTGATTTGTGTAAGTGGGGGGGGCGGGGCTGAAGAATCGCGGTTTGAACTAGTTTGTAGGGGCCGTTTGAACACCCGTAGACACCCGTACGGGGGGTTATTTTTTAAACCTGAAAACAAGTTTTGTTTCGCCAAGGTTGGGCGTGGTCAATGCAATGGTGGGCACCAACCCGGAAAGGGGGGGTGCGTGTTGGGAGGTTGTTCATTGTTAAGATCCAAGGGTCGGGCTGTAGTCACCTAGGCAAATTGGTGAGGCTTTTACAAATGTCCGGAGTGGGGTGCGGTTTGGGAAGTTTTGGGGGAAGAGCCAAACCTCCGAACGTTTGTTTGGTGGGGGGTCCAAGGAGGGGAAGACTGGGGAGTTGAGCGGAAGGCGGGGGTTTTGGCCGACCGGCGGGGGGGGGAGACGCCTATAACTCCTGGCCGACCCACTCCACTCAATTATTTGCCTCCTACGTGGGGGCTCCAGCTCCCTTTGCCCTTCTAATTGTGTCATCTTAGCCTTTCTCTGCTAGTACAAGAAAGAAAGGTGAAGGAAACGTTAAGACCTGAATCTCTCTGTTTCTTACAGCTCCATCTTTAAAAAAGCCTCCCTATCTTACAGGACCATGGTGAAGATAAATTCATTAGTGTGTGTGTGAGGTACACTCCTACTCTGGTGACAAGTGCCATAGGAAAAGCCTATAAGGAACTTAATAATTGCCTGTTTAATGCAGGATTTGGATGGTGTGCAGTCTAAGTATGGGACAATGCTCTCATTGATGATGAAAAGAAATATTGAACTGTTGCCTCATTCTCTGAGCATTGTACAGCCTGAGGCAGGAGTCCTGTGGGGAAAATATAGTTATGTGGTCATCTAATTAACTATCATAATGCATATACACAATGGGCAGCAGGAAGGTTGCACAGGCAACCTTAATTTTGGCATTTCCTAATTTTTGACTGTTTGACTTCGTAGCCTTAATAACATTCTTTTAATTGTGTGCGTGTGGCCGTGTCCTCCTGAACTTAGTGTGTGGCTTTCAATTTTGTAAACACATAAATTAAATTACTTACTTCATCAAGTCGTCTCTCAGTTCCTAGTGCTAAAAGATTGTTGTATTCTCTCTCAAGGATTTGCCGTGCCTATATATAGCAAATTAAATAATTAAAATAATTGAAAACGAGCAAAAATAAAATCCAGACAAAGTAAAAGTCAGGAAAGGACTTGCCTGGGTGTTTTGTGTTGGAATCTGTAATAATAAAGCTAAACTGCTGTAATCAAAGTTTTCATCCAGGGCTATAAGTGACCCGTGTACGCCACTTTCTAAGACGTTATTTGCATATTCTCGTAGTCCAATAGCCTGTATCCAGCGTATGACTCGCTCATTGCTCCAGACCAATACATCTACAAACACACACAATATAGTATCAGCTTATTGTTAATTGAACTTTCATAAGCATACAGATACATGTATCTATATGGCAGTTAACCTACCACACCACTTTCCATACAAGGAATACTAAAACATGATTAAAATAACCTCAGTGGTTTCGTCGTTGATACAGAGTCCAGAAAGTTGATTACTGGTGTCTCCATTCCCACTTGTATAAACATACCACATGACAATCCTCAGCAAACACAGTAGTGTCAGCAAAGGGCTTTACAATTTTGAGAAAAGATTTTACAGATTCCTGGGAGAAATAAAATCAGTCCCCTGAGGTTCAACCTCAAGGGAAGGTGGAGTGGGATTAAACATCAGCTGAAGTGACCATTTTTAGAGTGAGACCTGTACATAGAGGTCAAAATCTGTAGTTTTCTAATGGGCCAGAGGCTTGTGTTGACATTTTTAGTAACCAGCTCTTCTCACTTCTGAAAGCTGATCCATTAAGATCTGTGCTAATTAGAAAGCTATGGACAAGTAAAAGAGAGAGGAGGTCTTATTTGAGGACTGAGTCAAAAAACCCTCCACATTAGAAAGAGAGCTATTTGTCCCACGTTCTTAATATTTATTATTTTACTGGCATGTGTGATGTTTTGCATCTCTAATCAAACACAAATCGAAGACTGCTTTTTAATGATCTCCTTAACATCTTAAGTCTCAGGTGTAAATAACCATGAGCCAATGAAGTCATCAAACAGCCATAAAGTTAATTTAAACGGAAAGCAAAAAGACCAGATTCCCTCCCTGGCTCCTGCCTCTGTTTGTTGCACCGCCAGCACAAGGAGGCTGGAAAACTGCTCGTCTGGAATTCTTCTGTGAGGAGGGATCCTCCGCTGGTTTAGGCCAGTGTAATTGTTCTTCGAGTGCTTGCACCTTCCCAGGAAGGTGTGTGCGTGCCCCAAGCACGATTTCTGGAATTTTTTCCCCAGTGGTATCTGTTGGGTTGGCTCCAGCACTCTCCGGGGCCGCATGCCCATAGCACTGGTATAAAGAGCCCTGCTGACCCCGCTTCCCTTCAGTTCCTTTTTACCGCCTGTGAAGGTTGCTGGAACGCTTCATTGCTCAGGCAGTTTTCTACTAGTGGCTTTTCTACTTCTTTAGTTACTGTAATTTGGTAGTTGGTGGGTAGTTTTTTAATAACTAGGCTGAGATGCTCGGTGTTGAGTCCAGTTGTGGCTCTGAGGTAGGTCTTAAGGCTGCCTCCATGAGGAAGACCTTCAGTCTCGCTTTGCGGTCCTTTTTGGTGCGGTGTTTGAAGTCCCTGCAGATTTGGCAATGGTCTTTCCTTGCGATTCCCCCAGTCACTTGAGACAACTCGAGTGCGGGTCACTCAAAGGCACAGACTTACCACAGGAAGTGCACGGCGTGAAGCCCAGTGACCAAGGCATGCCCTGGCACTGGGAGGTGGATGACACCACTAATGAAGCGCAGAGGCATCCAAAACTGTTGATGTCTCTAGTATCTGATGCATCAGCCCTTGGCTGGGGAGTCCACCAAGGGGCCCTCAGGCCTCTGGTCCCAAGAAGAGCCTTACCTCCAGAGCTCAGGACAGTCCGCCTATCCTGCCAGGCATTTCTACCTGCTATTACAAACAAGGTTGTTTTGGGTCTCACAGACAATAAGATGGCCATATTCTACATGAACAGACAGGGCAGTGAGTGTTCTACCCCCGAGTCAGGAAGCAATCTGACTATGGGAGCTCTCCATTGCTCATTCCATCAGTCTAGAAGTGTACTATCTTCCAGGAATGCAGAACCAGCTGGCAGATCACCTCAGCAGGTCTTTCTCCTCTCACCATGAGTGGTCCCTTCAACCAGACATCACAAGGGATATCTTCCAACGGTGGGGGACTTCCCTTATAGACCTGTTTGCTACCCACAACAACAGGAAATGCCATCAGTTCTGCTCCCTGTGAGGCTCCAGCCCGGGGTCTTCCACAGATGCATTTCTGTTGTCTTGGACAAATTACCTGTAGTATACATTTCCTCCTGCATGACTGATTCACAAGGTTCTGATGAAGATCAAGCAGGACTGAGAGTGGGTCATTCTCATAGCCTTGTTGTGGCCCAGGCAACATTGGTTCACCAACCTCTTAAGCCTTTTGGTGGAGGCCCCACTATGCCTTCCGGTACACCCAGACTCCTGAGACCATGGTTGGCTGCTCCACCTGAACCTCAGTTCTTTTAATCTGTCAGCCTGGAAGCTCCAGGCTGAATCCTGAGGAGCAACTTGCTTGGAGCAGGTCCATAGAGTCCTACTGGGCAGTAGAAAGTCCTCCACCAGGGCCACCTACCTTGCAAAATGGAAGTGGTTCTCCATCTGGTCCTCCCAATGGGGAATTCCACCTACACAGTCCTCCCTGCGTACCTTCTTCTGCTGAAACAACAAGGTCTGGCCCTCTCTTCAGTCCCGGTTCACCTAGCGGCTATCTCAACTTTCCCTCCCAAGATTGACAACCAATCTGTTTTTTCACACAAGATGGTGATCAGTTTTCTCAAAGGCCTGGATAGGGTGTATTCCCAGGTCAGAGAACCCATTCCTCCCTGGGATCTGAATCTTGTCTTGTCAAAGCTTACGGATCCACCGTTTGAGCTGCTAGCAATGTGCTTGTTGTTACACCTCTTCTGGAAAGTGGTCTTCTGAGTGGCCATCACTTCAGCCAGAAGCGTTGCAGAGATCCAGGCCCTCACATTGGAGCCACCATATATGGTCTTCTTCAAGGATAATGTCCAGCTGTGCCCACACCCATTGTTCCTCCGAAAGGTGATCTCACAATTCCACTGCAGGCAAGCAATCTTCCTGCCAGTAATCTACCCTAAACCACATGCAAACAGAGAGGAACAGTGCCTACACTGGATGTTAGACAGGCCCTGGCTTTCTACATATAGAGGACCATATCATTCTGCAGAGCTACTTAGCCGTTCACAGTGGTAGCGGAGAGAATGAAGGACCTACCTACCTCTGCTTGGAGAATTTCATCCTAGTTGACTTCATGTATCCGAGCGTGCTATGAACTCATGGGCATCTCGCCCCGCAGCTAATCTGACTGCTCACTGTACAACATCTCATGCCTCATCAGCCACCTTCCTAGCGCAAATTGCTATTCAGGATATCTGCAGAGCAGCAACCTGGTCGTTGGTGCACATGTTCTCAACACACTGTGTCATCACCCAACAGGCTAGAGACGATGCCAACTTTGGCTACACAGTCTTGCAGCCAGCCTGTGCTTGAACTCCGAACTCACTTCCTGTACAACTACTTGTTAGTCACCTACATTGGACTGGACATGTGCAAGCACTCAGAGAAGAAAAAACAGTTACTAACCTCTCTGTAACTGTTTTCCTTCAAGATGTGTTGCATATGTCCATTCCAAAACCCACCCTCCATCCCCTATTATCGGAGGCAGTTAGTAAGAAGAAACAGAAGGGGAGCAGCGTCGGCAGGGCCCTTTATACTGGTGCTATGAGCACAGGGCACCAGAAGGTATTGAAGCTGACACAACGGATACCACTAGGGGAAAAAATTCCGGTAGGCGTGCACACCTACACTGGAATGGAAATATGCAACACACCTCGAAGAGCAAGTTACAGAAAGGTTAGTAACCATTTTTTCCCCTCACTACCCATCCTGCAGTCCCTGCCACTGGGAGCATTCCAGGGTTTGGATGGGGGAGTGACTGAAATACAGTGTTCCAGCCATCCTTGGCTGTAAAACGTTCCATTGGGGAGTATGTCCAACCAGCACAGATTGGAACAGCCTGAGCCTGCTGTAACCTATGATGGGGTCGGGACTAGCACAGAACCAGCACCAGTAACCAGTTACTTCATGTGCTTCTCCAGGTACACCCAGCAAATACTGGGCACAGCAGGGAATTTGACCGTAAGTCCTCATTACCAATGTAAGTCTTTTGCACTAGAGTATGCCACCATCTCTGCTGAGGCGAGCACAATTCAGATATTACAATTAATTCTGTCCCACTAGTTCTTGTGTTGTCAATTCTTCCAAAGAAAGTTGCACTTGAAAAGAGTTAACTGAAAATGTTCTAGTTTCCTTTAATACTAGGCAATGCTTAAAGGAATCAAAGGATTCACTTCTGATAACAGGAAAGAAAGTCTCACTCTTAAGTACAAGACCTATACCTTGAGCTTGCATGCTCTCTAGGAAGCCTTATGTAGGAAAATACTGTTTAACTAGCTATTACATCATACAATAAACCTTGTTCTTTGGGAACTAACATTATGGATCAAGGCCTGACACAAAGTGAAACGGCAAGTTGTAAACTGAAACAGTTGCCTTTTCAGATCTTAAAGAACTGACTTGATGGAAATCCATCCATATAATTTTATTTAAATATGAGCTGCTTTAAAATTAGGAAACAAAAGCAATGATTTTCTAAAGGCTGAAGTTAGGCTCCTAAATTCATGCTTAGGTATTGGCCAGATTTTCAAACGTGCTGCACCCAACAGCTCCCATTGACCAGCACTGGTGACATTCTCAGGCAGTTGGACTATCCAGTTTTATGGCCAGTTTCTATTGGCAGACTGGTGCAAAGGGACTGTAGTGGGATCTGGCCCACAGTCCCTGCCCTGTAGCGGGATGGTCACCTGCTCCTGCCCTGAAGGGCTTAAAAACAGCCCAGGGGATGGCTGTGGCTGGGGCAAGCAGCCCATGTGGAAAAAGGCACAGCTGGGGCCACGCCCCAATCAGGCCCAGCTGGCCCTTATAAGAGGGCAGTAGGCAAGGGGCACAGAGACTCTCTCTCTGTAGCCTTTTAAGAGGGAGGGACCTGGCTGCTGTGAGCTGAGTAGGGTACCTAGACTGGAGCAGGGCTGGGGGAAGACCAGAGGAGCTGGGGAGCTCCGGCCTGGAAACCCCACAGGCTGCAGGCCTAGTGTAAGGCCAAACAAGTACTGGGATTGCAGGGGGCAGCCCAAGGGTAGGCGGAGGCAGAAGGTCCAAACCCTCCTTGCTGCTGATGAGTGGCAATTATACTGCAGTCCGCTCCAGTGAACAGGGGCTAGATGGTGACTGGCAGTAGTCATATACTGAGGCACGGTGGGGATAGGGAGTTGGGGGTTCCCCGGGGAGGGGAGACCCAGCGAGACTGCGGGGCACTGCAAGGGGGCAGAACCCCGAGGAAAGGGGCACCGGGGTCCGGGAGGGACACAGGGACCAGCGGCCTGCGGAGAGCACTCCGACAGCTGGTGAGCTATTTCCCAAGATGACCAGCAGGTGGCGCTGCAGGGTTGAGTCGCCACCCTGCTGCATGCCCCGAAGAGCTTACAATCCAATTTGGCCAAACACAAACACACCAACATATACTTGCAACAACCACTCAGGAATGAGACTTCAGAGTATAGGCTTCAGTTCAACAAAGTACTCAAGCATGTGCTTAACTGTAAGCAAATGCTTAAGTGCTTTGCTGAATAGGCATGGACTCAAATTTATGCTTAAAGTTAAGCACATGCTTAAATCCTTTGTTGAATTGAAACCTATAGTTTGAAGTCTCACAAAGAAAAAAAAAATCACAATACCCATTCCCTGACACTTACCTTTTATTTCATGCTGACTCACTTCTCTTCTTCTTTCCAGTTCTTTTCTGTCATAATTCAGCCTCTTTAAGCACATGATACCGTACTGCAAACTTGTTCTGTTATTTGAGAGAGAAACATTTACAGATTAACATAAGACATTTAAACGAAAATAGCATTGTGGATGTGAATGTATTTGAAGTATTTACTACATTTTATAAATGGTAGTTCAGTATGCTCATGTATCAAATCATAGGGGCAAAGAGCCAAAAAACGTAACAGACTAAAAAATGAAATGGGCACAAACAAAAATGAATGGGGTTTAACTAAGTTATCTAGCAGAAATACATTTAACGTTAAAAATGTATCCAAAACAGGCCAACAAACTATGTGAACTTAAGTACTTTATTGAATCAGGATGTAGGCAGGAAGAGGTGTTTATTGTCAAATCAGACAGTAAAGAATGCATCCTTGCAGGAATGGCTGCCTCCTTTGGTAGATGAACCTACTGCCCACTTGTTTTTTCCACTGTAATCTGAAGGAGTTTAAACATTTTCTTTATCATCATGTTTCTTGTCTACCATCTTCTGATGCTGTGCCTTTTAATATATTTTTTTACAATTTATGTATTGTTACAGTTACATTTATATATTAAGGCTACTCTGTGCACCATGGAATTGCATTCCATAACTAATCACGCTTACAGTTACTATGTCAAAAGGAACCTCTTTCATTTTCACATAGTTTATTGGTGCTGATTGTTTATATTTTCATGTGGTTGTCTAAAGTTGGAACAACCTTAAAACTAAAGCTTTGTTAGCTTATGCTGCACTGAGCATAATATTACATCCATGTGCTCATTTTGAGCAGCCTTTGTACAAACATACCGATGAAAGCTATCCACCATTTTTAAATGTACGCGGAGATCTTTCTTCGTCAGATGATCTAACATCCTTGCGTCTACCAGGCACTCCATAAAGTAACTTCGGTACTGAGGTAAACCCAGACTGGGGAGCCATTCATTACCAATCCATTCATGGTTCATATCACCATAAGCAAGGGTCTATAGAAAAATAGGAGACTTCACATTTTAACCTATTTGTGTCAATGCCCCAGAATGAAGGCAGCCTATCCATCTGCTGTGCCATTTCAAATAGGAGTTCACCGTCTAGGAAATTCACACTGCTTTCCATAGTAATTCTGACAATACTACCATTTGGGCCTCAAATATGTAACTAAAACACTATTGGCTCTCTGTATACATAAAATATTTTTGTTAAATACAAATATGATCTATCAATATCATGTCTACCACCTTTTTGAAATGGAAATTCTAATTGCAATAAGAAATAATGCATTTGAAAGTTCACATCATAGCAAAATCAAGAAAATCAGACACTTAGATTGAGGGAAATTTTTTTACAAGCACCTACGTGAGTTAGGAGAACAATCCTATTGAATTTCAAAGGGATTTGTTCTCCTAATGCACCTATGTGCTTTTAAAAATCCTTCCGTGAATTAACACAAGCGATAAAATAAACCTTTAGGGTGAAATCCAGGCAGCATTAAAGTGAATGGAAGTTCTGTTGTTGTTTCAGTGGGGCCAGGATTTAATCCACAGCTTTCTACATCTTATTTCAACAAGCAATTAGCATTATACATTTGTAGTCCCTCTGAAACAGTGGTTATTTTTAAATGGTTCTTGGCCAAGCCTGCATGCCTGCCTCTGCTTCCAGCACCAGTAACAGCAAGTAGTGCATTTGGCTAACAAGATGTTTTAAAGTTTGACCAGCACAAATGAAATGCACCTTGTGGGACTATCAATACGTGAATCCTTGACTAAAAAGAAAAAACAATCTTTGGAGAATTCCAAAAAAACACTACAATCCAGGAATACTTTCTGTGTTGTGAGATTCTAGTAGAAAACAAAAGTGTGTTTGTGTAATGAGGTGCCTGCCCCATACTGAGCTCTAAGGGTTTAACAGAGCCCTCGGGAGGCTGTGCAGGAGGCAGCCAAGCAGGCCTATATAAAAAGGGAGCTTCAGGACAGAGGAAGGCAGTTCTCTGCTGGGAGCTCACGGAGGAAGGACTGTGTCCCTGGAGGGCTGAGAGAACTGCCAGGACCCTGGACAGAGCAATGCTGCTGCTGGGTTTTCAGGCTGAGGCCCTGAAGCAAAGAGGATGCTGGGGCCATGAGGACACTGTGGTCCTTGGAGAGATGTGGGTCCTAGAGCAGGAGTGGTGGCGGGGAGGCACCACCAGAGGAGGGCGCACTAGTGAACTGAGCTAATCCCCAGGACAGCCAGCAGGAGGTGCCACAGTGGTGAGTGAACGCCATTACAGACTGTAATGTAAATACACATTGAACTACTTTTGTATGGTTTATCTGAAGTATACAATCTATATTTTAGAAAGAGAGAGATTCTGCCTGTACTAATGCTCTGTGCAATCCCATTGAAGTTAACCTAAAAATTGCAGGACATTTTTATTTTATTATTTTTTTAGAATCTCTCACTTCTCATAATAAAACACATTTTTGTGACCATTGCTTGTGGTGCAATAGTTTCTTGTCTTATATTTAGATGGTAACAAACTTTTTGGGTCAGAAACTGTCTTTTAGTTATGTGTATATAGTGAAGAACAAAAGAGGGCTGTGATCCCTGACTGGGGTGACTAGTCACTATTTCAATATAAACAAATAATAAATCAATCATCTGGAGTTGTGAAGAGCAGAAATGGGCTTACAGAAGCCTACTACAAGAAACTAGAATTTGGAAAAAATAATTCCCTGCACTTGTTCTTTATTAGCAATATTATTGTTATAGCTAACAGAAGGCTATTGATAAAACTGAATTAGAGGAATTAGGTGTTAAAAGCTCTGTTCCTTCAAATACTGAAATGATATTTTGGCTAATTTTTATTAGAGGTAGAAATGATGCCTACATATGTATTAATGGATAAAATTGCATGTCTTGTACAGCCAAATAAAGATTAGTCTGCAAAAGGCATGCAGGTATATTGTTTCTTTTTGTGTGTGTTCCCCTTGTTTTGTAAAGTGTGTTGGTTTTCAGAACTGGAAACTATACACAGCAAGAAAATAAAAAAAAAAGTCTGCCTATAAAATACTGCTTATAAAATATCTGTAATGGATAATCACAATACACATAATTAGTAATGAATATACAACTTAGAAGTTTAGCACTCATGTACATTAAAATTATATGGCACAAAATTGGATTCTGACAAATATAACTGTAGAAATGATTTACTTCACAGCTTACATTATCTATGTGCTTGGCATCTAGTTGTGAGCTACACATTCAAATGGCAATTTTTGCACAACAATGCAACTGTTTAGTTTAAAATGCCAGGCTTGTTTATCCTTGAGAAAAACCACAAGCAATCAAGATGATTTAACTTTTGATGTTATTATCAAATTGGTAGAACAGCCATATGACGTTACAGTTTCGCTCAGTGGGCAATGTAGTTGTAAACTTTGAAACCCAATTTTAGCTTCACTCAAGTGAAGAATATTCAAACAACAATATTTGTTTCTCAAAAGAGTCTAATGTGCACAAAGTAAACACCTAAAAACAAACATGGATGTACAGTGGAACACTGTGTTTCTTGCTATTACACAGTATGTGTGTGTATATATATGTATACCTTTCCATATAAATAGTCTTCCCTTAGCTGCTGACATCTACAGCAGTACTTTGCTGTCACCCTCTTTATAGTTGGACAGTTTTTTTCTCTGAAATCCACACATTCACATGAATCAAATGGAAACATTTCCTTTGCCTCTAGCTGCTTTATTTACACCATTACCTTGGAAAAAGTTAATTGAATTTCCTGTAAATGTAAAGCGGTTGCTCTTTCAAGTGTAAAATATAATGAAGGGTGTATCCATGCTGAGCTTGCTCAGGGAAGCTGCACGTTCACCTCTGGTGTAGAGGTCTGATGCAAAGCCTTCTGCCCCACTCTATGGGGGAGTGGGCATGCAGGGGGAGCAGTCATGCTGTGTGTTGTCTTTGCACCTCTTGCATGACATGGGGAAAGGCTCTGTGCTGCTCCCAAATGGCTTGTATGTAAAGGAGTGAACTGGAGGTGGTGGCATGGGATCAAAATGTATGTGTATTCTATGAACCTTGGGATGGGGAGAAGGGAATGTCGAATTAGCATCTGTCAGTTATCATCAAAGAAAAAAGCCCTGTATTTAATTAATTAGTAAGTGGGAGTTATTGAATATCACATTTGGTTTAACACTTGAACTCAGGACAGTGAGAGCTTAATTAGAATTCAAAAATATTTTAAAACAAGGAAGCTAATCCTTTGGCATAGGGAGAGAATGCTAACCTAACCTTGGGTTAAGAAGACAGAGGGGGACTTGAACAGTTACACACGTGGAAAAAGACTTCCTAACCAAGTTGTATATGTGACATTATGCCCCATATTCTTCGTAGAAATTATTATATGAATATGGCATAACTATATATATTTTACGCAAGATCGGTCATGTGAGGTATCATTGGAAAGGCTACGATTTACTGAATGTGATTATCCAATTTGTATGCATGTATCATTTCTGTATCTGAAGTTAGTTGTAATTGCTACATAGTCAATATACCTGTGTGTATACTTGGGGGAATGCCTGCCAGACAGTAGGCAATCAGCCTGGATAGGACATTAAGAAGGACAAAAGAACTTTGAAGATACTAATCTCCGACCTTCCTGAGAAGCTTCCTGGGATGCTGCTTTGACACTACAAGGTCATGTGATCATGTCACCTGGTACAGGGTCCCATCTTGAGCTGGTATTTTTCCACTGGAAGGGCATGGACTAGGAAACAAAAGATTCCTGCCATATGTAAATCCTATTCAAGATTGGGGAGGGAGTTAATCTAGGCGCTTCTCCACTGCCTCTCCGCCCAAGAAGGAAGTCTGCTGAAAACACCTGAAGAAACAAAGGCTAAGATGGGAGGGCAGGGGACTGAGTCCACGTGAGACAGATCAGCCTGTAAGAGGAATTCCTGGAGATCTAAGCTGCAAGCAGTGCAGTTTACCTTCAAAAATCTCTGCAATCTCTTTGAAACATTTAGGGTGAGAAATTACAATTTGTAGCCAATTTCTTCAATGTATGCAGCCTAGTTTGCGTGTTTTTTTTTAATTTGCTCAGTAATCTGCTTTTTTCTGTTTGCTATCTCTTATAGTCATTTAACATTTACCGTTTGTAGTTAATAAACTTGTTTTTGTTTTCTAAAACCCAGTTTGTGGAACTCATAACAGGGGTTGGGGGGAGCAAAAGGCTGTGCATATCTTCCTCCACTTTGAGGGAGGGGGCGAATTTATGAGCTTGGCTATATAGATGTCAATACAGCGCAAGACAGTATCATTTTGGGTTTGTATCCCAAAGGAGGTGTGCACTTGAGAGGTCCCCGAGCTGATTCTTCTGACACAGAGCTGATCTCAGTGTCTCTGTGACCATTTGCAGCTGGGTGTGTTCCTACCTGTGTGTGCTGGAGAAGGCTTGAGGGCCTGGCACAGCGGAACAGGGTGAGGGAGCCCAGGCTGGTGGAATGGGGGGGCTCAGTGGGACCCCAGCACGTCAGGTGATACCCTGGAAGGGGAGGTCCAACCCATCACAGTATACAGATATAATTATGGGCACATCAAGGGCTTGTCCTCACTAGAGTTTTTTTTCACCTTGAGTCAATTGCTTCTCAGGCTAATTGTAAACCACAAATTTTGTAGCCTGGTGTAAGTATTTAGGAAGTGTCCAGAGTACCCTTTATCAAGGTGTTAAGTACCTGGAGTTGATTGGAAAACAATTAATGGATATTAAACAATAGAGCAGAGACCATGATAATTTCAAAATACTGGACATGAACAATTCTCATTGACAAGCTGCTGATCATGTTTGAATTTGGGAGAGGATATGTGGCAGTCCAATATACACACAGCTTCCCGGAGCTGTGATCTTGTTCTCTAGAGTCTCAGCTTCTTTTAAGAAAGTCTCTAGACATTTCATTTATGAAGAAAACCTGCAAAATGTAACCCAAGTGTAAATGATGTATGAACGTTTGCAACCAGTCTGCAACCAGCCTGGAACAATAGCTCTGAACTATGGTATTAATTTCAATGAGGGTGTAGCAGGGTGACTACTCCGCTCCTGCCCTGAAGGGGTTAAAGCAGCCTGGGAAAGGGCTGTAAATGGGAAAAGCAGGCTGATTGAGAAAGCTTAATCAGGGTCAGTTTAATCAGGGTCCAGCTGATCCTTATAAGAGGGCTGTGGGCCAGAAGCAAGGGTCTCTCTTTAGCTTCTTCAGAGAGAAAGACCTGGCTGCCAGGGAGCTGAGATGGATACCTAGGGTGGAGAAGTGCTGCGGAAGGGCAGAGGGAGCTGGGGAGCTCCAGCCTAGCAAAACCCCAGGCTGCAGGCTTAGTTAAAGTCCTATGAAAGGGTACTGGGGCTGCAGAGGGGCACCCCAGCGATAGGCAGAGGCAGCTGGTCCAACCCCCCTTGCTGATGATGAGTGGTGCATAGGCTGCAGTCTGCCGCAGGGAGCAGGGGCTAGATGGTGACTGGCAGTGGCCACAGAGGCAAGGTCGGGGTAGAGGGTTGCGGGATCCCCTCGGTGGGGAGACCCAGATTGTGGGTTACTGCTGGGGCAGATCCCTGGTGAGGAGGGCACCGGGGTCCGGGAGGGACATGGGGGCCAGCGGGGGCAAGACTCTGGCCTGCAGAGGGCGCTCTGGGCTGGAAAGAACTAATTCCTGAGATGACCAGCAGGAGGCGCCGTGCCAGTGAGTTGATGCCTGCCACAGAGGGTGATTATGCAGATGCAAAATGATAGTTCACAATAGCAATATTTTAATAATTATCTCATGGCTGATTCTGGGTATGAAAGGAGAAGGACTAGTATATTATGAAGATCTGTGCCATATCAAGTGAGTAGAGCTTGGTTTGTAAGTATAGTTTGAAAGAGTACCACTAATTTTTTCAGTTTGGCCCCTAAAGTTCATAGGTATAATAGCTAAAATGATGATGCAGGGGCTGATACCTAATCATAACAGTGAACTGGGTATATAGGAAGGGATGTGTCAGATGCTGAGAGAAAAAGGGATGCCAAAAGGGAGAGAGAGACCTGACAGCAGCTGGACAGACACAGAAGTCTAAGAATATAAATATTTGATTCTCTGAAGCTTGTGCCCTAACTAGGCAAGGCTGCTTGTAGATTAAAATCTGTGATTTATATCATTTTACCTTGGATTTTCTCTCCATTTTCTAATCATAGAATATCAGGGTTGGAAGGGACCTCAGGAGGTCATCTAGTCCAACCCCCTGTTCAAAGCAGGACAAATCCCCAACTAAATAATAATAAACCTTCTAATAATAATAATCCTGTTATTTTGTGTGAGTGTGTGTGTGTATGTGTGATGATTTCCCCCTTTGGAGTCTGGTAAGCATACTGCAGCCAGGTCTTAAGAGGTCTGTTAGCTAAAAGTGGATCCAGTTCTATTGAATCTCTTCATAAATGATTTGGATAATGGTAGAGAGAGTACATTTAGAAAGCTTGTAGGCAATACCAAGCTAGAAGGGATTGAAAGCACGCTGGGGGACAGGATTAGAATTCAAAATGATCTGGACAAACCGAAGAAATAATTTGAAGTAAACAGGATGAAATTCAATAAGGACAAACACAAAGTACCCCTCTTCGGAAGGAATAATCAATTGCACAAATACAAAATGGGAAACAACTGCCTAGGAAGAAGTACTGCAGAAAAGAAACTTGGGTTATAGTGGATCACAGACTGACTATGTCAACTGTATAACACTGTTGAAAAAAATGAATATCCTTCGGGATGTATTAGCAGGTGTGTTTTAAGTACAGTGGTGAAAGTAAGCAGGTATGGTCAGGTACACCATACCATTATGATATTTATAGCTGGTATGTTGTACCAGAAAGACCCATTTTTAGAACTGCAAGGCTCCTGGGAACCACAGTGGCGAAAGGAGCATGGGTGGTCCCACACTGGCAGCTCCTGCGGTGCAAATGTACTGCCAGCAGCCCTTCCAAGCAGCTGGGTCACCTGTCTGGGGTCTGTACATCCCCGCTGGTGGTCAGAGCTGGGGCCGGGGGCGGTATAGCTGCGCTGGAAGAGCTGCCAGTGTGGGCCCACATGTGCTTCTTTTGCCCTGCGGTTCCCGGGATCCCTGCAGTTCAGATATCTATATCCAGTGTAGTGGGAGAACGAAGTCCCCCTCAGGTAACATGGGATGGCGAGGGGATAGAGAGAGCATGGGAGGTCACATGCCCCCCGTTAGCTATTGTCCCCCTTTGTGTCCCTCCCATGAGTTACCTATGTGTACCGATAAGAATTAAAATCTACTTGCACCACTGTGTAAGTAAGACATGAGAAGTAATTCTTCCACTCAGTACTGATAAGGCCTCAACTGGAGTATTGAGTCCAGTTCTGGGCACCACACTTTGGGAAAGATGTGGACAAATTGGAGAAAACCCAGACGGGAACAACAAAAAATATTAAAGGTCTAGAAAACATGACCAATGAAGGAAGACTACATTTGTTTAGTCTGGAGAAGAGAAGACTGAGAAGGGACATGATAACAGTCTTCAAGTATGTAATGTTATTATAAAAAGAGGAGGGTTATAAATTGTCCTCCTTATCCACTGAGGACACGACAAGAAGTAATGGGCTTAAACTGAAGGAAGGGAGATTTAGTTCAGACATTAGGAAAAATTTCCTGAATATATGGGCAGTTATGCACTGGAACAAGTCACTTAGGGAGGTTGTGGAATCACTGTCCTTGGAGATTTTTAAGAACAGAGCAGACAAACAACTGTCAGGGATGACCTAGCTAATACTTAGTCCTTCCTCAGCGCAGGAGACTGGACTAGATGACCTACTGAGGTCCCTTCCAGTCCCACAATATGGTGATCAATGATTTAAAAGGACTCAGTAGCATATGGTGTGGTTTTCAAAGAAAATAATAGTAATAATAATAAAAATCTTTGAAACTGTGTCATATACTGAAAAGTTTCTACATTAATGGTTCAGCTCCAAGAACTAGCACAATTTCCTTGATAGCTGTGTCATCCCTCGGCGCGCGCCGCTTCCTGCAGCCCCCATTGGCCTGGAACGGTGCACTGCAGCCAGTGGGAGCTGCGATTGGCCAAACCTGTGGACGCTGCAGGTAAACAAACTGTTGTGGCCAACCAGCAGATTTCCCTGATGGGCTGTGTGCCAAAGGTTGCCGATCCCTGATGTAGACTTTATATGCAGAGCATCTAGGTCCAGATTTTTAGAGATATTTAGGCACCAAACTCCCATTGAAATCAATGGGAGTTAGGTGCCTAAATACCTTTAAAAATCTGATCCCCTATTCTATAAACGACAACTCACAAAGAGCCTCCAAAAATGTATACAAAAATTGTGCAGGGACTTGATTGTACCTTCAGTTACCCCTGCTGCACAGACATATAAATGAGGATCCAAGTTTACTATGAACCAACCACAGGATGGTATCAGGATGTCTCCAGCTGACCTATCACCCTTTCTCCCCCATAGTCCCCTGCTTGTTTCATCATGAAGGGGGAGCATGCCATTTCTGTGACTTAGATGACCTTCCACTATGGTGGACAGTGGTGGCTAGAACAAGAGAGGTCTCTTTTCTGTGCTGGCAGGGTTTGAAAGACATTGCCAGTAGGAATAGGGACCATGCCTGGACCCTTCACTGTAGCCTGACATTAATATCCCATCTAGATAAGCAGCACATAAACACAGTTTGTTGTGACCTAATTGCCCCAAACTTGGGCATGTGTTTAGGAAAAGTTATGCTAAGGACAGTGTGGGAAGGACATGAGGCATACAGGGCCTTACTACTGAGAACGTGTACACAGGCCCACCGACAGCAATTCCGGGCCCCAAGGCAGAACGCGTAATGGTCCTGAGCTGCCGATTGCACTGCTGGTGCCCAGTGAGTTGCTGAGCACGTTCTTCCGGCACGGCCAGGGCTTCCACATGCCCGCCTGGCTGCCTTCGCCACTGCTGGTACCATCCTGCGCATGCCCAGGCAACTTAACAAGGCCCGGGGCTCCTGGCCACCACTACCAGGGTTGCTGGGCAATTGCCCCCTTTGCCCTCCCCCGTCAGCGGGCCTGCATGTACATCCCCCATCCCTCGTGAGCAAACATGTCTCAAACCAATACCAGTATGGTTGGGAGCTGCATCTTGCTGGTGTCGAAGTCATATAGCAGACACCCTCATTCTTTATAAGCATTAGGGACTGCAGGGTAACAAGGCATTTGCAGCCACTGCCATTAATCTACTTACGAGTGTGTTGTGTTTTACTTCCTCATCATCCCAAAGGGCAAAAGCAAATCATACTAGTGCATATAATGGATAGGTGTGCAAAGTGTATATGCACAAAATAAAGGATTGTGTTGAGTCTCCTTAAAATATCTGGTTACAAAAGATTGTAGCAATTTATATAAAGGAAAATATTTGCTACAAATATGGTATTTATGTTTTATGTAACAAACCTGTCTAGAAAAGATTCTTTTTGAATTAAAAATGTAAAAGATATTCATTAGACTTAAATCAGCAGGAGGAAATCACAGCATTAGACTCATACAATAGCTGATAAAATGTTACAAGGTTTTCTATTACTATGTTAATTAAATTATTAGTAGTCTTCCACCCCAAAAGTATAAAGTCAAAAGATTCATACCTGGGCCCAGCTGCCTTCCTCAGATTCTTTCTGTATTATCAGGAAGGAGCCATTAGAAAAGCAGGTAAAAAATACAACAAACACAAGTCAAGAAGCAAAAGGTGATTATAATGCAAATGTTAATAATTCTAGTACAAAGAAAAATGTACAACTTAATATGCTGATAATGCATTTGACCTAGTGTCAATGGCAAACTGCTTAGCTATGCTACAAAAGTGACACCATTGTAATTAAGGTTGAATAAAAAAACTTCTTAGTGCTGACAAATCAAGAAAATATTAAAGATATGAAAAAATCTTCATAGTTTTGTGAAATTTTACAAGTTCATCTCAAACTCCCTTGGTGGTTTTCTCAAAAGCAGCTATTAAAGTAAAAATGTTGCCATTTTGCCTCAAAATATTGTAAATTAGGGGTAACCCACTGTTTTGTCCAGCAAAGTCTCAAAACATTCATAATGTAAAGCTATGTTTACAGGCAGAATGGTTGAAATTTTGCCCTGATTCATTATATACTTGTAAAGCTTTGCCCTTTGATTTGCACATTCTCAAAGGGCAAGGTAACAGTTTCATTCAATTCTGTTAACAGTAACATTTCGTACAACACATTGCAATAAAGCTACCCACTTTCTTGTACAAAAAGTATGTTGTTTTTTCCTGGTCAGTTTTCCAGGGCTAGCTCTATTTGTTGGTGCTAAAGGTGTTTTTATTGTGTTAGTGTTTTCTTTACCAATAATGATAAAGCTCAGAGGCAGCTCGGTTGTAAAAAATAATTGGCAAAGAAATTGCTCCCTGAAATTTATAGTGAATATGTAAAACATTATAGCAAATGAAAATGTATAGCAAATCCACCTTTGCTGCATTAAACTGTAGATTTAGCACCTCCCTTGCCATTTATGGGCTGGGCTAACCATAAATTATTCTGAACTGAGGATAAGGTTTCATACATCTTTTTTTTAAGCTTAGTTAATGGCTTACAAGCATGGTCTCATGCTGGCATAGAAAAACCTTACCTTTGAAAACAAAAATATAATTCTAACCCTGAGGTTTGGAGGAATGAAAAAAATCTGAGCCATTGACTGGGGGATACATATTGCTATATATTTTAAGTCTCTACGAAAATCAGTAAGATGTTTGCCAAAAACACAATGGCACAATAGCCACCCTAAGTCCCAGAAATGTGAACAGCTTGGTCTGGTTTTCAAAGAGAGAATTCTGGCTAAAGCATTTTTGTCCCAGTTACATACTCTTTAGGCTTCCTCTAGATTAACATCTCTCAGTGTCATCATTATCGCAAACTTCTATTTAAAGTGATGCTTGCAAGGAGGCTTATGGGCAGGTGCAGTACTGAAACTGCTATAGACTCATTTTTCACAGACTAGATTTCAAATTGACAGTTTCCTTTACATTAAACACTCTTCCTTCATATTCAACACAGTGTGACATTCAAATTAATGACGGGTTTCAGAGTAGCAGCCGTGTTAGTCTGCATCCACAAAAAGAACAGGAGGACTTGTGGCACCTTAGAGACTAACCAATTTATTTGAGCATAAGCTTTTGTGAGCTACAGCCCACTTCATCGGATGCAACATTTTGCATTGTTGTCTAAGGTGCCACAAGTCCTTCTATTTAAATTAATGTTTCAGAAAACAGAACTACAGCTGTACAGTGAAACTTCAGTACTGTATGCAAGTTAATATAGTCTCTGTGACTGTAATACATTTGATATTTTATTTTTTAGGGAACTGTTATCACGTTTTTTCTAATTGTATATTTCAGAAACAGTCTACAGGTGATGCAACAATTGTAACAACTACATATACTTCAGTTGTGTTCTTGGCATTAAAACAAATATCATTGTTGTTTAAATAAAATTGGAAAGACTAACCGTTTTGGCTGGAGCTGCAAGATTTTCCATTTCTTCATGGGTCACCCAAACATTGCCTGAGGGCTGTTAACAAGGCCCACAGGGAAGCAGGTAGAATCCACATTAGGTAAGCAGTGTTAAAGAAGAAAGGCAGCACCACTGTAAGTTAACAGCGTATAGCATCACAATCAGCACAACCATGTTCTTGCCTCAATTGAGCTGCAACTAGAGAAAACTTTAGACAACTTGCTTTACATCTTTCTTCACTAAGATCTTAACAGATGCCTGTTTATTAACCAGAACTGGTGGATGAAATGTCTTACTCCTAATGTGGTGGAAATTCTCTGAATACCATTACAAAGGAAAGAATAACAGTTAAAGCAAGTTTCAGAGTAACAGCCGTGTTAGTCTGTATTCGCAAAAAGAAAAGGAGTACTTGTGGCACCTTAGAGACTAACCAATTTATTTGAGCATAAGCTTTCGTGAGCTACAGCTCACTTCATCCGATGAAGTGAGCTGTAGCTCACGAAAGCTTATGCTCAAATAAATTGGTTAGCCTCTAAGGTGCTACAAGTACTCCTTTTCTTTTTAGTTAAAGCAAGTATATCACACAAAGAGTGAATGTAAGCTTTTAAGTGGTAACTGAATCCCCAGGAGAGTTCTCATTTGGTGATGAATTTCCAGCCTAAAAATTCTGCACACATACTGTAGTTGCATTGTAATATAACATAAGATCCCTTTTCCCACAGTTCTGTATGTCAAACATTCTTGAAGAATTTCTTTTAAAAATGTTCTCTTTTCCCCCTCATTCCATTGTTTTTAATAAGGGTTAGATTCTGACTTGCCCCGGGTGACCAACCAGGGAAGTAAGGGGGTGCAAGAGCTGGCTGAGCACACAAGGGAAAAGGCTGCAGTAAATTAACTTCCTTCTTGAGAAAGAGAGAGGACAGGGGACTTATGACTCATGGTGCAGCTGCATGCCACCCATCCCTCAGGGCTAAGTGCAAAAGGCACAATCTATCCTAATATTTCTAGCCTGAATATGTGACAGCTCATCTGGTAAACGTCAATGCTTTTCTTGAGCTGTGTAACTATAGCTTTTAAAGGTGCCTCAGCAATGGGAATAGAGAAACTGAGATGTTTAGGGTAAAATTTGACTTTCAATGAAACTCAGACTTCTCAGTGCCTAAGCCACTTTTGAAAATGGTACTTAGGTGTGTTTGTTTGAATATTTACCCTAAGTCATTATGTTTTTTGGCTATTGTCTTCAATGAGAGCAAGATTCATCCTTAAATGAGGAAAGCCATCAGATTTTGAGAACATATGCCAGATTCTTAGGGCCAGGTTACTGATAGTAGTACCTTCGGTAGTACCACTTCCAGGAGGAGCACTTTGAGTAGCAGAAATCAGCTCACTGGAGGAATAAGGTCCTCCTCAAAGTAAAAGTAACAGAATTTGGCCCTTAGCAGTTACTGAAAGAGCTGACATATTTTGAATGCATACATAAAGCTCTAAAAGATGTTTAAACATTAGATCATAGGGATGAAAAATCACCAGGATGGGCACACTGTAGAAAAACTGATTGTACAGATCAAGTGGTGCAGAATTGTATATGACCTCATGACAGCACCAACTTGAACAGTGCTGTAAATAGTCTTATAGCCACCTGATCATGCAGCGACTTACAACTATTGTTTGTTCAAGATACATTTCACTATGACAGATAAAATTCATCTGCTCAGATCTGTGTCTGCCATTGTTTCCTTATATTATGTTACTCAGCAATACATTTAAAATTTATGTGCAACACGGTTCATTATCATTGAGCATTTAAAATATGGAAATTAAGAAGTTAAGAATATGGAAGTTAAGAGAAGGTAGAGAAATATTCAAATATCCTCACTGTTCAAACAATCTCTTCAGTGAAAGAACAAGTGTAATATATTACACTGCACATTTAAAAATCACCTTAACTCTATCCCCATATTTCAGCCCAGCTTCCACTTATAGACCTGAAACATTTTAGATAAAAAAACCTGTGCTTGGATTTGCATCTCACTAAAATTAACATGTACCGGAGGCTACAAAATAGCTTAGTCTCTAGAAATGTCAAAACTTACTTTGCAGACTCAAGAGGTTTGTATACAGGGGTTTGAATAAGCATCCAGACTTTTGGATGCTGATCCAAACCAAGGCTCAGTACCCAAATGGAAAAGTGAAAGTGTTAGTATTCTAATGTCCCCCCTTCCCAGGCAGCATGCTGCCCCGGGGCTCCTTCATTTTCAATCAGCTTCTCCTTTTCTGACAGGACAATACTACACAACATAGGGAGATAACCACTCTTAATATAATGTACTATCCTTAAATTTGAGCGTTGTCTTAGATTTTTCCATTTCTTTTCCACTTCTTTCTGTTCTCTCCTTTTGTCTCACTTTGATTCATTTGCTTCATCTCTTTTTCCTGCTGCCTACTGTTTTCCTCTCTTGACTTTCTTTCTACCCTTTTTTCCTTCAGGGTCTCCACTTCTCAGACTTTTCCCTTCACCTCTTCTGCACAATTCCCATCTGTCCAAGCCCCTTTTCTCTTTCTCTGACCTCCAATATCTCTTTCTAGGCCCAGCTTTCTCACCTTACTTCCAGTCATCTATTTCTTAGCCTTCACCATCTGTCTCATGATTCTCTCCCTTCCTAACTCCCACTCTTTATTTCTTTCCTCACCAGCATGGCCCCTTTGTTCTCTGTCTCCCAACCTCCACACGCACTCTTACCATAACACACACAGGATTCTCACCCTCTCAAATACACTTCCACTTCTCGCCTTTGTTCTCTTTCATACATGCTTCTTCCCATCACTTTCATTCTCTCTCCTAGATGCACTCTTCTCCTGCCTTCTCTCTCTCCTCCCATCACCCACACCATTATACACAGAAAATAAAACACTCTCTATTCTCTTCCCTCTTCTCACTACATAGCCACATGCTCTTGCTGCTTCTCTTAGGGAGGAAAGATAAGCAGGAGGATACAGCAGATCCAGGCTGGGGGCTAACTGAAAAAGGTAGAAAGAGGGAGTGTCAAGAGAGTTCTGTGGGAGGAAAGAGCCAGGGCAGGAAAAGTATCTGGTTCATTTGGGGCAAGGATGTGACTTGGAGAAAGGGGGGAAATAAAATACCTGCAAAAGTACAAGTAAGTTTCCAAACATTAGGTATCTATGCATAGTACATTTGAGGTTTGCATTACATAGTATGCATTTTGAGGTTTGCCCTTCTCATATCGATCACTGAGGTAATTTCAAGGTTAATCAGAAGCACAATGTTAAAAAAATGTATTTATTACAGAAAATTATCAGTGATCAACAAGCAATGAAAGGCACTTCCACTCTCTTCAGGACAATTCAGACTGATTTTGATTTGGTTTGCACTACACAACTTTTTCTCTGGATTCTGACATGGTGTTAAGTGTGAGAAAGAAAGTTAGCTGAATGTGACTCACTGTTCTAGAAGTGGGAGGAGCTGATGGACTTGTAAGTGATACCATCTCCTGGATTGCTAGTCGGAGCTTTAAGCGATGGAGAGGGTTGCTGATTCCAATTTCTCTTTGAATCTCAGTATCAGACAAAGCAGACATTATGGCTCCACTCTTCACATTTGCACGGCAAGCAGCAACATACCACGCAGGCATTCCCAACCACAGCTGTTGAGAAAAAAGTCACCAGTTTAAGACACTAGAACTCAATTTCTGAGATTTCATACATGGTTTAGTTATTAAGACATCTGCCATGTGAATTACTATGGTAATGCTCAAGCACTCAAATCACCAGTTTGTGAAAGGCCCTTCTGTGCATGCAGATTCAGGCATTGCACAGGCAATACGTGTGATCGACAAGTGATTTTGACGTTGTGAAATGGCTTCGGAATGCTGGCTCTGGGCACGACTGGAGATGTCACGTTAGTGCTCTAGTGTTCCATAACCATAACAGGAATGTCGAACACAGGCATGTTTCTTAGGGTATGTCTACACTTCCAGCTCGAGGAGACAAACCTGCCGTAGCTCAATGAGAGCTAGTGTGCTTTTACATTGAGTATACCCACAACAGCGTGAGCCATGGATGGGGCTAGCTGCCCTGAGGACTTACCGAGCATCTTGGATGGGTTGTGCTCAGGGTGGCTAGCCCCTTGAGCCGTGGCTGCTACACCCTGTTTTGAGTGTGGTAGATCAATGAGTGCGAGCACAGGTATGTTTCCTTGAGCTGCAATTTACACCTCCAGCTCGGAGTGTAGACATACGCAAAGCGTTTTCAGAGCCACTCACAATCCCTGCCTGCAACACTCCTACTATTCTTTTCCTGACCCTCTTATGAGCACAGACTGACCATATGACTGAACTGTGCTCAACTGTTTTGCATTCTTCTAGGTACGCAAAAACACAGTGCCTGCTGTGTCACCTTATTATGATTGCAAGAACACCCAGATCTTCTCATCCACAGGAAAGAATTCCATCTGCAATATATACATATGTGAACGCCCCAAAACACTGTCTCTCCAACTCCCCCTGAACCCGGCAGCTCCTCGTCACAGTATGCAATACATTCAATTCTAATGAAATGTGCAGAAGCAGGACCAAAAGACATAACTCGCCAACATTTTCAGAAGTGATTAGTGATTTTGGGTGCCCAACTTGAGAAAGTTAAAGGGGCCTGATTGCAGAGCACAGATGCTCAGCACTTTCTGAAAATCAGGCCTCATTAAGGTGTCACAAGTTGGACATCTAAAAATTGAGGCCCACTATAGCTTTTTATAATGGGGGCATGGTTTGTTTTCAATTGGTCAAATGTTTTCTTTTCTAATGTTTTACATCATTTCTATAAACACCCCCCCCCCAAATACCATATGATTAATTATTGAAGGCTAATGACAGCCATTGTTCATTAAAGTCCCTGTTATTGCATGAAGAACAGGAGTACTTGTGGTACCTTAGAGACTAACAAATTTATTAGAGTATAAGCTTTCATGGGCTACAGCCCACTTCATCGGATGCATAGAATGGAACATATAGTAAGATATATATATACACATACAGATAAGTTGGAAGTTACCATACAAACTGTGAGAGGCTAATTAGTTAAGATGAGCTCTTATCATCAGGAGAAAAAAACTTTTGTAGTGATAATCAAGATGGCCCATTTAGACAGTTGACAAGAAGGTGTGAGGATACTTAACTTAAGGAAATAGATTCAATATGTGGAATGACCCAGCTACTCCCAGTCTCTATTCAAACCCAAGTTAATGGTATCTAGTTTGCATTTTGCATGTGTTTTCAGAAATGAACTGAAAGGCCAAATTTTGAAAAATACCTAAATTATGCCACAGAAATTATACACACCCTAAAGCCCTGGTCCTAAAAATATGCATGAGCTTAACTTTCCATAGCACATAATTCGTAAGAGGCTACAAATACTCACCAATTCATGTGTGCAAAGGCCCTTTTGCATGTCCAAAATCAGGTATTCCATAGGCAACATATTTTGCATGCACATATTTTCCAGTCTAGTCATAGACTCCCATGTTTCCAAATTTGTCCCAAAGTTTAACAAAACAACAACTAAAACCTGACAACTATGCTTTGTTTATTGCCTTATAGGACATTCAGGGGCTTTTTACTTCTACAAATGTGTGTACACACACACATTTCATGATAGATATTTAGTACACTTTTCTATATTAAAATGAAATATGATGTACTTTTCAAATATAAGGTGTCAGAAAGCACATGTCAAATTAAAGAGTTAGCTACTGGTAGTGTACAAACATTATTTTTTATTCTGTTTCCTATACCACACCCATCAGCATGGAACTGAACGCCTGCTGAGCACCCATAATACCGTACCAATTAAGGCTTACATTTTCAAGAGTGTTCACTAATTTCGGGTGTCCAGTTCAGGATACCAGGTCTTGATTTTTCATAGATTAATAGATTCCAAGGCCAGAAGTGTCCACAGTGAATTAGTCTGATCTCTTGCCTAACACAGGCCATAGAACTTCCCTAAAATAATTCCTGTTTGCCCTAGAACAATTCCTGTTTGAACTAGAAACATTTTCACAGGTGCTAAGCCTCTGCAGCTCTATCTCACGTAAATGGGAGCTTCACAGGCTCCATACCTCTGAAAAATCATGTTCTATGTGTCTCTAGTTGAACATTCAAAATTAACATATAATTTTGAAAATGTAAGTCTAAATCCTCTCCAGTGTCTTTGGGTATTAGAAGCTGTTTTACCAAGAGAGAAATTGTAGGCATGGAAACTTTTTAAAACATGGCATTGGTTAATCCACATGCACCTGGACAGGTAGAAGTGTGTCTGATTTAACAATCTTCTACAGTGCGATGAAATACTCAACATTAGACCTAAATCATCAAGTTGGAAATGTGTACCGTGTGATAAATTTCATACGATGGGGGAACCCCAGGATCTACAAAGAGTTAAAAAATGCTCAGTATGGAGAGAACTTATTTTTCCATAGGTGCAGACTTGGGTACAACATCTTATCCTTTTGGAATTTCCTCCAACTCCCTGAGGCTGATGGAGTGCCCTTTTGCATCCTTTTGGGCAGCGTTGTCCCTGGTACCAATCTGTAGTGCACTGAACTACAATACCTATATGCCACTAAAACTGCTGATGCTTCAAAGGATGCTCCAGGGAGGCAGCTATCTGTAAGGATTACTTGGCATGTTCCATTAGAATAGGCGATATGAAAAAGCAAAATGGCAAGATTCCTCCTCTGCCTCCAGTATTTGCTTCAGATGTAGACCTAATATGATATTCTGTCAAGCATCACAACATCCACTAATGCAGGATTTTTCAAAACGAATGAAAATATCACCGAACTGTTCTCAAATCTTATGAAAGCTCTTATTTTTACCATATTAAAAATCAACAAGTAAAAACTGGAAATTTTGCACAAAAATAGACAGTCACAGACTTTACTCTTGGATGTCACTGAGTTTCATACTGTCCTTTTCCGCAGTAGGAGTGAAATTTTATGATGGCTCGTCACTGGTACCACTGTAACTTGCTCATCATCATAGTCTGTCAGGGGACCAGTTACGTAGCACTAAACCTTGTTGAGGATTAATAAAAATTCTCAGCAATATGGAGGCCTAAACCACACTTCAAGAGTACTAACACTTCTGGCTGCAGTTCAGTGATTTGAAAAAGCCATATGACTCATTGTTTTTTAAAATGAAGACATTCTGAAGAGACAGATTGGAACAGGTACACAGAGGGTGGGGGGAGGGCAAATAGCTCATACCTCAGATGGCCCACATAATGGGCAGCTACCATCACAGTTCCAGTGCCCCAGGGAGTTCAGTCAGATCCTCCATATGTCCCCTAAGGAATAGAGTGCTACAAAGAGGATGGGGAGAGTCTGGGAGGAAATGGATCCCTGTCTCTCCACCATACACTGGTCTACGAAAGAGCACTGCGGGGAGCAGGCTGTGCTGAAATATGGTATATCAAGAAGCTTAGGGAGAGACGGGGTCTCATTTTGATGCACAGTCCCTGCCTTGAAGTCCCCCACACCACACATACAGGACTGAGTCTTAAAGCACTGTCTAAACCCAGATTAAATTGCCATGTGTAGTTTAATAGGGACATGTACGCAGATTGAGTCCAGGCCCCAGATATAGAACTGCCAACACAACTGATCTTAGCCAAAGGACTATGAAAAAATTATGCATAGCTTCATAATGCATCTTCTCTCATGTTTTCTATACATGTAATCTTTAAATAAATTAGATTTTTCTCCTTTTCAGACTCTCTCCAAGCCAAACACTCCACTTAGTTTGAACTTAAACAGTTCCTTAGAACAGAAGACAGCAATTTGGAAAGGAGAGTGGCCCAAGTTCGAGTTGTTTACTTCTGTGCAACTTGATTCAAATTTAACTTATATTAATGGGTAAAAAGGAGTGTGCAGGTCTTAATCAGCTCTGTAGCAGACATTTATCTACATCAGAAACAACCACTTAGTGTGACACAAATAGCATCTCTGAGAAGCCTATACCGCTTTGTTCCAAGCAAGGAACATGCAGATCAAGATTGAGACACTTGGTTAAGCATTGGTTAAGGAACCTCACAGTTCTTAAGATTTATCCAAGCTATACATAAAAAAATTACACACCAAATAGCTATGTTTAAAGAACACTAAGATGACAGTCAAGCAATGAAAATTTAGGAAATGCCAATATTAAGGTTGCCTTAATTTGCCCTCCTTGTACTTATGCATTATGAAAAGTCTTTAAATTATATGACCACATACTATTTGTGAGGGTATGATCCTCTACAGTCTACACATGTCTGCCACTGGGGGAAATAAGAGAGACAGACACACTCATCCAGTGGGTTTCCTAGACATTCGCTGACAGCAGAGGAATATTGAGACTCAGGAACCCAGTGTTCAACTGCAGTTTCTCTAGGGTAGCATTCTCCAGAGGTAATAAACCTTTTTTGCCCCCATTCTTTCCATCTTGCCTCTATCTCCCTCTCAGCAGCTTCTGTCTCAGCCCCTCACACTTTACCCACCTGCAGCTGGCAACGATGCTACAGCTAATAGAAAGTAAGAAAAGGAAACATTCAAACGTTCTTTCCAAGTACTGTCTCTCAGAGTTTGGGAGGGTAACATAAATACAGAAGTTCTGTGAATAAGATCCATGTTTCCAAGTTCTCCTCTTAACACTTACCTCCAGCCACGCAACCACTGTAGGCCCGTCCCACTGTGCAAAAGGCAATCCCTTTCTCCGAGCTTCTTCCAGAAGTTCATGCCTAAAAATGCATCATACAGTGTTAAGTAGGTGGCAGTACCTGGGACAGCAGAGATGCACTTATACTTCCAAGTCTAATGCAGCACAATAACTCTCCTCATTTATACCGATAACCTCGTTAAAGTATTTAAGCCTAAGTAAAAGCAATTCCTTTCCTTTTTTGAACATATTCCTTTCTCTATCCCAAACTTTTTTCTCTTTCTGTTCCAGGACTCCTTTGATAATGCCTAACATGTAAAGGAAATACTTTTGTATTTTAATTTTCAACATTTCTGGATTGCATATAGAAATAAACCATAGAGCAGACATCTATTACACAATGTTGTTACATGTTTTGACACAATTCATTGGATAGGCATTGTGATAATTTATAGACGATATCTGAATCATTACAAAGTTGGCCAGCTATAGATCCAAATTCTGCACCTGCCATCTCCCCTGGACTTCAAAGACTGTGGACCACGTCAATCCACAGTAAGAATTTGGCTTTTGCAGCTTTTAAAACAAAGAGTGTAACATCACATTTAATATAACGGTATTGAATATCGTACAGATTATATACATTTTAAATTGATTAAAATACCCGGAAAATGCTAGCTTTACATTTCACCCATATTAAATAATTTGATCAAGCACACGAAAAAATCCTTTTGCACAGGCGAGAGGAATGACAGGATATTTCAGGGGCACAGAATTGATCACGTAGCCCCTCTAAAACCAGTTTCTTATTAACCAAAGTATTTCTGTCTGCCTCCCACTGAGAGGAGCACAGAAGGCAGGTTCTCAGCAGTAACGGAAACAAATAGATGAGGACTATGTTAATGTAACATTAAAATTTGCTGACAACACCTCATAAGAAAGGCAATGTAGAGTTATAATATTGATTTTGCTTCCTTGTCCTTTATTCTCGGCTGCCTATGTGATTCAGAGATCCCTCAACAACACTTCTTTGCCTTAGGAGCCCTTCACATAGTGATCTTGAAAAACTGTGGCACAATGAAGCAGAGATAAAGGCGAGAGAATTACTCTGTTTTTTTAAAGAAATAAACTTGGGGTTCCCAAACCATGAAGGGTCCGATTCTGTTACTTGTGCTCCTAGTGAGTATTCTCTTACTCTGTAAACTGCTCCACTGTAATCAATGAGACCACTCTTGCAGTTAGATGCTAGTGAGTGAGAGTTTCAGGATTTGGCTCTAGTAGAAGAGGAGAAAGACTGATTAAGACCTGCACACCCCTTTGTCCTGATAATCTAATTTTGATTTGAATCAAGTTGTCCAGCAGTGAAGAACACAAACTACTTATGCCACAGTCCTTTCCAAATTTATACCTTCAGTTCTATGGAACTGTTTAATTTCCTAAATGACAACTTTCAGGTACAATGCAAGATTTTTAGATACCCAAAGGTCAGAGTTTATAGGTGAAATCAGCCGCTTAGATACCTAAATTCCCTAAATTATTTTGCATCCATAAGAAGAGTCCATTTTTGAAAATCTGGCCCTACAACTGCCTCAGGTTTCTGTATTTCTCCTATATCTGTAGTTAACACACTGACATCTGACAACACTTTTCAACCAAAATCATCTAAGCTTCCCTCTCAGCACACACACTATCCCCTGCTGCAGGGAGTTTTGCAGCTGCTCGTAGGAAACTGGTTATATAACTGCCACTTGCTATCCATGTCCTCTTCCTGAATCCCAGCTAGGCCAAGAAGACCTGGGGAGCTGGGCCAAGGAGTCCAAAACTATCAGTAAAAAAGTCAGTTAACTGCTTGGTGTGTAAGGATGGTGTTAGTAAGGGTTTCCTGCTCCAATTGCCCAAAGAGGATGGAGTGCCCCTCTCTACCACACTGCTGTTGCACAGGTTCTACCCAGTAATTGGAGTATGAGATCACTCAACCACCCATCTCCCCATCATCAGTGTGAGCTTCCTCAGTGCTCAGCGGTATGTGAGTTGGGGGGAACTTCGGTCCAGGAGGCAAATTTGGGCTTGTTAGATCTCTTTTCAAACCCATGGCTGAACTCTGGAATTGAAGTGCCAGCAAAGGAGACATAATCTTTAGGCTCCAGAGCCCCTTTACAATGCCTTTCCCCTGAACAACTGACTTCCTCCAGCCTGGAATATCAGAGAAAGTATTGAGCATGTTCAGTATATCTCTGGTGTGATTCCCATGAGCTCAGTTGCCATACGGTAATCAGACTGGAGTCAGGTTTGGGCTCTTAGCTGAGCATTATGCTGCTGCTTCTGAGGGAGATGTTCTCCCTTGGAGTAGTGAAGAGCCTCTATAGTTGCATGGTCAGCCAGACTCGTGGCAGTACTTATGGGAGAGCAGCTCTGGACGCTGCTTTTGGCTGAACAGAACAGGCCAAAACATGAATTTCTCTTACTGCTGGCTACTGCTATCAGTGACATCACACATAATCCTGAGGTTCTTGGAAGGCACAGCAGGTGAGGGAGGAAAATTATTATAAATAATTTTAATTGTAATTTTAAAATCTATTATTCAGTCAAATATTGTACTAGGGTGAAATTAATCCTTGGGCAGAGTGTCAGCACAAGACCAAAGCCTCACTTAATGATTTGGGATCTTAAAGAGATTTTTATTTATTTAATTTTTTAGAAGGATTTAAATTTATATTTAAAAGCTCACATAATAATTTCCTTTTCCGTTATAGTTTTGCCTACAAATCATGAAGTGCAAATTTTATTTAAGTTGAATTTCCCATTTAAAAAAAAACAAAAACCTGTAGTTTAAAAATATATATGATTTTATATTATATAATATGAAATCATAAATTATGTCACAGAGCTTGAACCTTGGATCTGCAGAACTAAAAACAGAGCCTCTATTACTCCATCTAAAGGCAGTAATTTCTTAGGTGATAGCTGTAGCAGACTTTTATCCTATTATATGAATCAGCCACTAGAGGGGGACAAAGATCCACACTTTGTTAGAATGGATTACAAAAATGAATGTATGAAGCAAGTTAATTAATAAACTATGTATAATTTTGATAAAAAGTAAATATAATGAATAAAGTTAATATGACTAAAATAGCAACTTCCAGTACTTATGAATAATATGACTCTTCTGCTGTGATTGTAAGGTCTGCAACAAATTTTCAAACGAAAATTCCTTGGCTATTTCAAAGTCAAGTTTTAAAAAAATCAAAATCAAGATGCTAGAACCAAAATTGTGTTTTACAGGAGGTCACACTAGCTGATGGCTTTACAATCTCTGAATCTCATTAAAGGGGTTTTCACTGGAGAATATGCTAGTTTATTTTACAGTATAAACTCCTTGCAAAAAGAATCAGATAATTTTCAAATGAATCTGTAATTTTTCATTACAGCAATGTGGAAATGGCTAAAATTGTGTGTAGTTTTCCTAACACCAGGGTAATAACAGCTATAAATTTCGAAGCCATTTTTGGAGAAAAAATTATCCACTACACTTCATCAAAGTAGTTTATGAGGCCATGAAGTTATCCTAAGTAAAACCCCCAAATTAGTGACTGAGAGGAAGGGGCCTGTGGCTCCAGGGGGTAGCCTACTGCTTGCTACGCAGATGGACAGAGAGGACCCTGGTTACAGGAAGCTACAACTGCAGCTGCCTCCTCCCTGCCTAGCTAAGAGACTGATCATTAGGGGAGGAGCAGAGAGTGTGCTCAGCTGCATTAATAACAGCCTCAGACTGTTTCCCTCTGCTGGGGCTTACAGTTGGTGGGGCGAAATGTAGTGTTCCCCTCCCTAACCTGAAAGCTGGGGAGGAGCTGGCAGATGTCAGAGAAAGCACTATACACTGTATCACTTCGTTTGTATCTTTAGGCAGATACAGGACTTTCCTTGCTTTCCTATCTAATTTTTGGCAACATATGCAACCAATATGGTAAGGAGAATTGACATTAATTAGACTTTACTGTAAGAGGTAGTTTGCAGATATTCTCTAAAAGGGTTTGCAAGCACTGGAATGATTACAAAATGAATCAATATTTTTAGATATTATTTAAGAATAAAATCCCCTTTATTTAAGGGAGTAACTGTGGGAGTAACTGTAATATGAATATAGGACTGGGACCTTGACAGGTCATCTAGTCCAGTCCCCTGCACTGACAAAGGACTAAGTATTAGTTACAGCATTGCTGAGAAGAGTTTGTCTAACCTGCTCTTAAAAACCTCCAAATGACAAAGATTTCCACAACCTCCTTAGGTAATTTGTTCCCGTGCTTAATGAGCCTTATGGTTGGGTAGTTTTTCCTAGTATCTAACCTAAATCTCCCTTGCTGCAATTTATGCCCATTACTTCCTGTCCTCAGTGGATAAGGAGAACAATTTATCACCCTGCTCTTTATAACATCCTTTTATGTATTTGAAGACTGTTATCATGTCCCCTCTCAGTCTTCTCTTCTTCACACAAAACAAACCCAGTTTTTTCAATCTTTCCTTGTAGGTCATTTTTTCTAGGCCTTTAATCCATGTTTATTGCTCTCCTCTGGACCTACTCAAATTTGTCCACATCTTTCCCAAAGGACACAGTATGCCAGTTGAGGCTTATCAATGCTGAGCAAAGCGGAAGAACTACTTCTCATGTCTTGCTTACAACACCCCTATGAATACATCACAGAAGGACATTTGTTGTTTTGCAACTGTATTACACTGCTGACTATATTTAATTTGTGATCCACTACAACCCCAGATCCCCTTCAGCAGTACTCCTTCCTAGGTAGTCATTTCCCATTTTGTATTTGTGCAGCTGATTATTCCTTCCTAAGTGTAGTTCTTTGCATTTGTCCTTACTGAATTTCACCCTATGTATTTCAGACCATTTTGACAGTTTGTCAAGATAATTTTGAATTCTAATCCTGTCCTCCAAAGCTCTTCCAACCCTTTCAAGTTGATATTGTCCACAAATTTATAAGTGTGCCCTCTTTGCCATTATCCAAATATTTTATTATTGCATCGTTAACTATCTTCTACTGCCCTAGATAGGCGTTGCAAGCTAAG